GGCGGGGTGCAGGATCAGCAGGCGGACGACTGGGGCAGCGGCAAGGCACGCTCGTTCTTGCGCCCCCCGTTCATGTGCGCGTAGGGCTGCGTCTCGTCGAAACTGGGCCGCAGCAGCACCACCGGCCCGTTGGCCACTTTCAGTCCTGAGTGCTTGTCCAGAGCCGGGCCCGGGGAGCAGGGCGGGGCCGACGGGGGGCCCGGGGGGGCCGCGGAGCCCGGGGCGGTGGGGGAGGCTGGCTGCAGGGGGGGCGCCTGGCCCAGGGGCACCGGGGCGATGGGCTGCAGGCTGGAGGAAGGGTCCAGGGGCACATTCTCCATGTTCTCCACTTCCAGGTCCAGCTCCTCGGTGTCCGGCGGCTTGTTCTCGTCGCTGTAGAAGAAGCTCATCTCCCGGAAGGGAGGCTCCAGCTCGTCCTTGATGCTGCCGATGATCTCCAGGAAGGAGGGCCTCATCTTGGGGTTGTACTGCCAGCACATCCGCATCAGCTCAAACCTGCACGGAGCACAGAGACCCGTGGGACACACAGGTCAGGCAGAGGCAAAGTCGACACACGCCGCGCCGCGCCACGCCACAGCCACCCAGATCACCGAGAACTGTTACCACCCCGTTCCGACACGGCGACCTCGTCTGTCCCAGTCACACCTCTCAGGATCGAACTTACAGAAGGCTTAGCTAATGTACTGACATTCAGAAATTCTCCAGATGCATCCTAAGTATCTCAGAGCGTTTACAAAAACGAATGTGCCTCTTAGAGCATCCATAAAGGGGTCAGGGGCTGAAGAACCTGGCTGTAAGAATACGAGCTGTGCAGGAGTGCTGAAAATTCATCTGATTGTCCTTGACTCACAATCTGGAAGGACAAATTCTAGAAACAGGAATCCCAATTTTCTCCTCAACTGAAAAAGTCATTAACAGTTGCTACCTTCTGGGTGTCCTGTCTCATTTACCGCTCTGTGTTAAAGGGTGGCGTTGTTGCTCAATTTTGTTCCATTAAGGAAAATCACCTAGAAAACCACATAGCTTGAGAGTCTTTATCTGAAGTGTACAGCAAAAAAAAAATAATCTGAAGGCACCAAACAAATCTCACAGGCGCACGTCCGGACTGCTTGCCATCCATGAGCAAATTAGGAAACAAATGAACATGAAGACTGACTAAGGGCTAGCCGCTCTCAGTGCTGCTGGCTACACACTCAAACAAGCTAAAAATACCCCGCGTGGCTCAAGCCCTGCAGATTAAATAAATACCGGGCAAGCCGGTGGGCCGAGTGAAGGCATTCCAAAGAGTAGAGTCTTCTTTTAACCTCCACCCCCACAGAAGACAACAAGTTGGGGGGGGTGGGGGGGCTCTGCAGAAGAAGCAGGGTGGGCTTATTAAGTTTACTTTCTGACAGTTCAGGTGGGCCTCCTGTGAAAATTACAGGGACATCTGGGCCCGCCCCTGCCCTCCGGGGTAGCCCTGTGTCTTTGGCGTTAGTTTCCTGGGCCATCTGACCCGGTTTGAAACCCTTCGAATTCATGCCCATAAAAGTCCCCCCCTCTCGTCCTACTTGTCACATGTGGACTGTCTGATGCCAGGAACTGCCAAGGCTACCTGACAAAACAGTGTCCCCCACCTCCCCCATCGAGGCAGTCTTAACAAGGCAGAGAGCGCAGATAACACATCGCGGAGAATGTGTTTCAGAAGCTTCATTTTCTCCTCTTGTCTTCGGCGGCGGCGTCAGGGTTTATGGCTGTAATTGCTACAGCTGATGCCTGCTGCTACTACACAGAAAAACCTTGCTATAAATCAGCGATCGGCTGCTGCTTGCCAAGTGGAAACATCCTCCTGATAATTTGATTCTGGCAGAGCAACTGAGGAGATTTCCCTGACACTCTTGTAGATTTGTGTAGGGGCAAAAAAAACGAACTTAAGCTTCATAAAAGTCAAAGCAGAGGATCTGAAGTCTAGTTCGAACATGGCACAGTGAAGTGCTTCATTCTTTTTATTTAAAGAAAAAATTAATATTAAAACAGGGATTTCCTTGCGCATCTGAACTACATCCAAAACAGGCTTCCCCCTCTCGCCATCAACAGACCTCTGTATTCCTCTCTCTCCAGTTCACTCACTCGCGTGATCTCCTGGGAATCCTGAAACGCCAAGATTAATTTCTGCAGCACTTGACTCGGCAGCCCTGTGGAATTCTCAACAGGCTCATTAAAGCGAAGGAATGAACAGCAGCCTTCATCACATGCTCCGTTGCTGCGCCTTCCTATTGCCTGCTCCCCTACCAGAAACAGAATCCGCCCGGCTGGAGCGAAACGGGACCCGTGCAAGAGGCTGCCATAGAGACACGTGGAGTTTGCGTCTCCAAAACACTATCTCCTTTCTTAAACCCGGGCCTCGCCGCAGAGGAGAACCATTCTAATTAGAAACTGGACACCAGCTGCGTACGTATTAACAGCGATGCCTCTGTTTAATTATAGACGGGCGCATTTGTGATGCTCGTGGGAGAGTTTACTCAAGGAAAACAAAGTGCAGACCTGTGTATTTCTTGTTACGACGTTGCAAAAGCTTAAAAATCAGTCAATCAGCCTTCCTGGTATTTGTGATATTCAGCCGACAAGGTACAATGCTGGAACTGACAGCCCTGGGCTTGCAGGACCAGAGCTCTGCCAGCCACTCCACGCTGCCTCCTGACACCCTCCTCCTGGAATCTGGAACTGACATCACGTCCTGCTGACTAGCAGTAAAGCTTTTTTTTCCATTATTCGATGTAGGACAGAAATATGCCGACGCACCCTGAAAACACAACTGTCTCTTTCAACACGAGCTCATTTGGCACATAATGCTGTTTACAATGTTATTGTGTTACATTTTAAACAGTGGGCACAGACATTGGCTGGTTGTGTTGAGCTGTCCGGCCCCTTAGGATAACAAAATACTCAGCTCAAGTCTGTGACTTCATGAGACAGCAGCTCAGACTAGGTCATAACTGAAAGTAGTTTTGGATCCATATGAATAGCTATTCAACAAGACAAGATTTAAATTAAGTCAAGGACACAATTTTATGACTGTGCCTTGCTTGTTTGGTACAAGGAAGTACCAGGAGGAGTACCAGGAAACCGAGTCTTGAATGGACCAGCTATGTCCTGGAAGGCTCTGGGTCATTATGGGTCAATTCACCTCCCCCTCCCCTGTCTGTGGAATCATTTACCTGCTGCCACAGTCAGAGAAATTCCAGGAAGACATGACCCACACATCAGCAAAAACAATATTATTACCCAAAGGGCTGCGCGGATCTGGAACACGTTTTCCAGCTCTGCTACCAAAGATTATACCCTGGTTCCTTTCAAGACACAGCTGGATGAGATCCTGGGATCAATGAATTACTGACTACCCAACGGGCAAGATGCCCTCCTCTCGTTTGTAATGTTTCTTCCGTTATATTTTCACCATCTGGAGAAAGGTCAGTGCGAGACCAGTGACTGTCTGACTGCTGTGCTGCTCGCCGCCTCTGGCTGGCAGGTAGAAGGGTGATGTCAGGAACAACCTTACTCCTCGCGGATACACTCCTCGCGGACCCCACGCAGTGCAAGGACTACAACGGCACGACCTTCTTTCCAATAGTATGTCACATTTCATGCTTACAACCCAACTTTGATTCTTTGATCTCTATTTTTGTTCATTTTACCTGTCAATAGTCCGATATCTTTACTTGACAAATTAGTCAGGAGTAGGAAGGTCATTTCAAACCACGGGTCTTTTTCGCAAGTGGGAATCGTGAAGATTGTTCTTGATGTTTCTGTACAGACTCCAAACCTGTGTTGAACTCTCATTTCAAATGAAGAATCTCACAGCAGAGAGACACACAGCCATGAGAATCGAGACACAGACACCTGTGTCTCATCTGAGGAGAATCATCTGACACAGCCTCGCGCAAGGTCTCGTTGATAACTTGGGATGTCCCAGCAGCCTGGGTCCGTATTTAATTATGAAAGATGCTGCTTCAGATCCTAATATTTAATATCACTGGATCGAACAATGATAGGGAGGTTTAAGGAAACAAAATGCCAGGCCTTGAAAGGAGCTAAGCTGGTCAGACACGCAGACACGATTGCCCCTGGCCCACAGGAGGCGAATACAGGCGCTCTCAGAATCGCCAGCCGCTGACGGGAACAGTGCTCTGGCCTCCCGCCAAGCTCTCCCCCCGGGGAACGGGAGACATCCCTCGCTCTCCAGGCTCCTTCTCTGTGGGCCTCAGCTTACCGCCCGGGGCCCGAGATCACTTGTCTTTATTTAAAAACTTCTGCTGATGGCTTCGGCTGGGCCTGTGCGCCCGGCTTGGTCCCCCTGTAACCCTGTGTGTGGCGTTAAGAGTCCCGATTCCCGATGCCTCGCAGCTCTCAAAACTCGAAATGAATCCGAACTGGGAGTTCAGTGCTCAGCTGTTTCTCACGGCGGGGATCTTCTCTCCCTGTCTCAGCTGTAACTGAGATCATGTACAAATGGAAGAATTATAAATAACGCCTGGAGAGAGCAGGAGATGCTCGCACTCCCGATGATATCACCAACAAAATGAACAACAAACAATTCTTCAGGAAGGGCCGGCCCAGGTTTCAGCAAGCCATGCCTCCCAGAGCCACTGTGCATATGGCAGCTTTTCTACTCTATTCCCGAGCTCCCAGTTAGGAACTGACACCGTTCGGCTTTACCGCCACAGCACAGCTGGAGCAAGGGACAGTGCCTCCCTCCTCTCTCACCCGCCTGCCGCAGCTGTGGGTCACCTGACAGGCCCCGGGCCCGGCCTCGGACCAGAGGGTGTCGGTGCTATCTCGGCCGCCCAGAGCTCAGACCACACGTCCCAGCTGCAGCCGGCTGACGACGCGGCCGGGCTGGCGCCGGTCACAGGGCCTGCACCTCTGAGCTCTGGCCGTCCACACGCGCAGGACACTCCAGGGAAACCCCATCCTTTCTCATAACCGCATGCATGTCATTTCCTACAACCGTACCCTCCTTACGCTTCTAAGAACTCACAGCTTTTCCTTGGTTTCTCAGTTGCAGTAACAAGAATAAAAGCAGTGTGTAGTTCATCAATACTGGCCATACCCATGCGTCCTCTGTACAACCGGAAGGAAGCCCGTTATTCCTTCTGGAAAGGCGGACATGCAGCCAGCAAGGAAAAGAACGATGGGTGCACTCACAGCATGTCTGGACAGTTGTCCGGCTTGTCCAGCAGCCCCCCCTCCATGACGAAGCGCAGGACCTGCTCGTTGGACATCCCCTGGTAGGGCTGCTCTGCCAGCGTGGCGATCTCCCACAGCACCACCCCAAACGACCTGCGGTGCGAGAGACAGAGAGTGACCATCAGTCAGCACCCCGGGAGAGCCCCGAGACGGACACAAGCCTTTGGGTGCTCTGATCCACTGCTACTAGCAAGGGTGTCCCACCAAGCCACAATGCTGTAGCTCTTAGGCTTGACTTTTATTTCCAATACAGCTCGCTCCCAACAAAAACAAACAAGATAAAATCAGTTCTTAACCACCTTTACACAAACTACAGCAAAAAAAAAAGACGACTTAAAGACTGTACATTCCCAAAAATTATACAACCTGTTACAACCACAACCTGCTGGGCTCATCATCCCTCCCCTTCAGCTCATCCTTGGCTGGCAACGGTCAGATCCTGCTGTCACGATAGCCACCCACCTCCCAGATAAGCCATCAGCAAGAAACAGATCCCCCCAGCCAAGTTGCCGGCAGTGTTTGTAGGGCCCATAAAAATCAAGGTTCAGCAGTGCAGGAAGACTGTGGCCTGCCCAGTCCAGACACTTAACCACATTGAGGCCAAGAGAAGAAAGACTTGTTCCATTTGAAATCTGAACAAACGCTGAGCAAGTCCCCCGAATTCATTGCGATGTGCCACTCACTAGTGAGAATTACTTTTTGTTTCCTGAGGACCAGAGACGCACATCAGGGAAATAAAAAAAGCCCACACTGCTGCCATTGATTTACTAGCTCTCTACAGATGCATTTTCCCCAACTCATCTGGAAAAAGATCCAGGCCAGGCTCATCACCCCCTGAAAAACAACTGGTGCAACCTTGACTCACACCTCACCTCAACAGCAGAAACAAAAACCTGAACCGCACGAAAAGGGTTTTCATAATTAAAAGCAGAAAGACAGAGAGACAGAGTGGGTCAATTCACAAGTTTTTCTAGTGGAAGAATGGGAAAACTCACCCAATTGCTACGTTTAGTTACTGCAGCTTCAAAGGATGTGATATGGGAGGCAAGGGGGGGGGGGTATTTTTGTTTTTGCTGGCAAACACTAACCTGTAATTTAAAAACATCTGGAGGAGCTTTTATTTGAAACAAAGAGATGAAACTGTGGGATACTTTCAAGGAAAAGAAAGATGAATTAAAAAGAACAAGTTAACAGTCCTCCTCTTAAAAGCCTTGAGTACAGAAAGGGGTCTCTCTTATCACACCATGGGAGTCTCTGACTTCAGAGATCTGTAATTCAGAACAGCTCCACATTTAAGGACTGTGGGCTCTTCACACGAACAATTAGCACAGCACTAGAGCTTCACAAGGGGTTTGTTGAAAGAAAAACAAGGCAATAAAGTTTACAGACTACAAACAGACAAACAGCACATTATAAGCTGTTGATTTTAAATATCATGTAAGTCTGTCTGTGTGTCAATCTCTGTATGTTGAAAGAGATAAGCAGCAGTAAGAGAGAAAAATATTTAAAGGCCAAGTTTATAGTTAATGCAAATTTTTGTAGAGCTCAATGAATAGCTGTTCAGCAGGTTTTATCAGAAAGGAATTCAGTGGCCGAGGTGATTAAATGGACTAAACAACTGGATAATCCCCTCACACAGCTTTATACTGCAACTGCGGCAAACTGGGTGAAGCTGAACATCAGCTGTCTGGATTGTTGTGCACGTAGGTAGATGACACCGACGACAAAAATAAAAATTGGTAAGTCCCCCCATCACTGTGCTTTGGAAATCTCACTTTATTTCTGAGCTGAAGTGAGATTTTTCACAGCACAATGCACACTCGATGTATTTTCTTCTAGAGCTAAAGCTAAAGTTATGAAAAAAAAAACAAGAGAGAACAAGTTTCTACCCCATATAAACTCTAATGAGGCCTGCTTGCCAGACCTGATTAAAACACACAGAAGCTGAACAGGAATTTATCACCGATTCCCACTCAATATAAACAATAATCACTTCCAGAACACAGAAAGAGTTTTTTCCCCCCATTTACTTGGTCGATTCTGATCTGGCTTTTCTTCAGCAGTGTTGAACGGGGAATATTTTCCAGGGGCCCTTGCCGTGTCTGTAGTGTGGCCCTCTAGTCTAGGGGAAGCTGGAGTGCTGGGGCCCACTGTGCAACCTGCTGGATCCTGGTGAATGCACATCAATTCACAAGTGACAAGACGGTCACATACCTACTCCTCTATTCGCCTTACTATCGGAGTCCATTCCGACATTTGGTCTTCAAAAGATTTTGGAAAAAAAAAGGTCAGCCAAGATTTTTTTATTCAGCGAGAATTACAGCGGTTCAACTGTTACTGGGTGTTTCTGTCACTCGCTCCACAGTCAGCTAATGAAAGCAACGACAACCAGAGACAGACCGGTGTCTTCACTGGGCCGAAAGGAAGCACTAGGGGCTCTTACCAGACATCCGAGTTGGTGGTGAACACCCCGTCCTTCAGCGATTCTGGGGACATCCAGCGCACTGGCAACAGGCCCTTCCCTCCTTTCCGGTAATAGTCGGTCTCGTATATGTCCCTGGTCATGCCGAAATCTAGAGCAACAGCAGACGGCCAACAATGAGGTGCGTGCAGCTGCCTCAGCCTTTGGAAAAAGCCGTCCAGGCAGGATACCGGCTCAGCATTTCCTTCAATAGACACACTGGGTCGCCGTGTGTACCTTGTGTAACACGGAGCACTGCTATATTTGTCTGTTTGGCTCCTTCCTGTTATCGTCAGCTTTCCCCCTCTCCTTTTTGCTGGCCTGGTCCTGCACCATAGGCCTGACACTACACCACACCCTGAGGTCTTCAGCTATCGAAGAGTTTCATTTAACTACAAACCCAGTGACCCTGCTGTGTTGTTGAAGCCAAGACCCTTGGATCAATAAGCTACTAATGACCACACTGGGTTGAATGATCTCGTTTGTAATCTCTCTTACGCTCACGCCATTCTACATCAAGGTTCTGACCGGCTACTTTATTTCTCTGATCTCAACTGGCAGGTTGAATTAAGCCATTAAAGATGGATTGAGTGAGACATCACCACCGCATCTTCCAAAAGAGGAGCGCAACGTCAAGATCTCACCTCCGATCTTCACTGTGAAGTCTTCAGCCACCATGCAGTTCCTGGCAGCCAGGTCTCTGTGCACAAACTTGTTGGCGTTGAGATAGGCCATGCCATCTGCAATCTCGCCAGCCATCTGGATCATCTTTTTAAGAGGGGGCAGTGACTGGCTTGCAGATTTCTGGGACACAGAGATATTGGAAACTCAGATAAGGGGCTTTTTCTGCTGGTTTGCAATAGAAGATCAGAACTTTGAAAGCGCACGTCACCACTCCTCACAGGTTTTAAAATCATTCTAATACCAAGTCTGTGAGCTAGAGGCCATGACCTGCTTCAGCTAATCACTCCCAATCAACTGTGCTTGCACTTCACATCTCACTTTCTTCACCTGATTTCATGCACCAGGTAAAAGTAACTAATAAATATGTGTGGATATGCTCTCAATATATGGTTCAGAGAATATGACCACTAAGTCTATACTATTACATATAGCCAGTATCTAGATCAGCCTGCAACTCCCAGCTGGCAGCCCACTGGAGCTCAGCAGATGTGAGCCTGGTCAGTACCTGGATGGGAGTTAGTGGGGCTCACCCTGCAGTCTGTGTGGGTCCTAATGCCCCAGTATAGTGACGGGGACATTATACCGTAAAAAGGGTGCCGTTCTTCGGATGAGACGTAAAACCAAGGTCCTGACCCTCTGTTGTCATTAAAAATACCAGGGCGTTTCTTGAAAAGAGTAGGGGTGTTAGCACGGTGTCCTGGACAAATTTCCCCCCTGGCCTTTACTAATCATGGCCTCCTAATAATCCCCATCTCTGAACTGGCTTACTCTGCTCTCCTCCCCACTGATAGCTGGTGTGTGGTGATCCCGTACAGCACTTTGAGTAGAGTGTCCAGAAAAAGGCTATGTAAGTGTGAGGGTTATTTATTATTACATCACAACTGGGACAGGGCAACAGAAAATCCTGACTTTTAATTTTGTTTTAGGAAGGAAAGATTGGTTTATAGCTATTGTTCGTGGGGAAGGCGATGGAGGTACCTCTGGAGAACGTAGGGAACGTAGGTAGCTCTTGAGGTCACCTCGCGTCATCAGCTCCATAATGACCAAAGTAGGCTGTCCTTGTGATACCACTCCGAGCAGTCGAACCTGCGCCAATCGAACCACAGCAGAACAAGCCATCAGGACACCCTTCAGGCAAAGTCACGATGCTCATTATTACATCAAATCACCGGCACATCCACGAACGGCCATCGCAGTGCAGAGAGCATCAGGCCCATACAGCACAATCTAAACAAATACAGAGCACCAAAAACAAAGTCACTGTTGGAAAATTAAATGTTCTGGGAGTCATTTTGAGCAACTGATCATTTGCGACTGAAGCAACTTGGTTGCACGAGCACAAGATCGCCTCAGTAAGAGTTGACTGGGCACAGACGACGAGGTTCATAAATTTCAATCCTGGTAAAAAAAAACAAGGAAGGAAAAAATCGACCTTGCTTATATTCCAGAGAATATCATCTTTGTGCCACAGACATATTGAAGTTGGACTAAATATCAGGTGGACTCGCCAGCAGTGGACCCAGGGTCTGTTTGTCAAGGTTTTGTTCAGACCTCCAGGATGAGCGCGTGACGCAGACGTGCAGAGTCAGTGGCTCTGCCGAGTCAGACGTCCCGCCTTCTAGACTCGAATCCCGCTCAACGCGTGGGGTGACCTGGGATAACGCGTGGGGCTCCTGGGGCTCATGCCCGCGGGCGTCTTGGCTGGGTTAGAGGAACAGGACAGAATCCCATAGGACAGCATCTGCAACCTGGCGCAAAGTGAACACTGGAGACGTTCAGCCTGTATATCCTCCAGCAGTAGCCTCACGCACTCCTAGCCTGCAAACTCCACAGCAGAACCCCTGCAGATCGACCCTGCTCATGACCAATGCTAATTAACAACGCCATAAGATAAGATCACTTTATTGGCCATATACAATTTCTTGTATCAGGAATTCGTCTTTTTGCAGACCCCAGCTTGCTCTCCATGAGACACACAGACAGGGAGAGAAGCTTGGGGTCAGAGCGCAGGGTCAGCCATTTATACAGCACCCCTGGTGCAGCTGGGGTTAAGGGCTTTGCTCAGGGGCCCAAGGGAGTAGGATTCCTCTGCCGGCCGCGGGATACAAACCGGCAACCTTCCAGGCACAGGCGCAGATCCACCGCACCGCCCATATCTGTTCAATACCATATTAGTGCACCTGTTCCAAAAACGATCAGTAGGAGCCGTGTGACGTTATTGCGGTTCTAGGCGGTGAGGTTCTGTTGATGCTCAGCAATCGTGACAAAAGGGCACAGCGTTATTTCAGATTTACACATGGCTTCACCCTCCTGCATGACGAAACCCGTTCGTTTGCAAGTATGCTAGCGATAATTAGACCACCGTCGCCTCCCTCCTGGAAGACGGAGTCGGCCGGCGCCAGGGTGCGCGGCCACGCGGAGCAGCCGCGGGCCGGGCAGCGCGGCACTGTGCAGCGCCCCGCACTCACCACATGGTGGCAGTTGAACTCCTTCATGACAGAGGCCTCATTCAGGAATTCAATGCGCTCCCTCATGCTGGCTGACTCGTTCACGGTCTTGATGGCCACCCTGGTCTCCGGCTCGTCTTTCACCACCCCCTTGGCAATCCCTTCGTACACCATCCCGAAGGAGCCTTGGCCCAGCTCGCGGCACATGGTGATCTTTTCACGGGGCACCTCCCACTCGTCGGGCACGTACACTGCGGAGGACAGGGAACATGCCATCACAGTCACTCAGAGCTGGGGGGTGGTCCCCACTGGGGTCCTCATGCACAGTTTAAGGGCTCCTGGAATCAATGGAGCAGTGGATGGGGCCCCGGACTCCCAGCTGGGGGGTCACGGGTTCGAATCCAGGGTGGGTTGCGGCTGTGGCGTCCCTGGCTGGGGTTCTACACTCACAGCGCACCTGTAAACTCCCTGGGGTACAAGAGGCCTTTACAGGTTGTCACTGGAAAAGAGAGCTCGTCAGCTATTCGTGTTTCTGGTTAAAGAGATGCTCCGTTACCTCACAGAACTTGTTGTTATTGGAACTAGAATTTGATGGTCAGGATTTCATTTGTTTCCTTTATTAATTTATGCTCCAAGTTCCGGATATGCCCTTGAAAGATCAAGACAACTGACAAAAAGCAGCACCCAAAATCAGAAACCATGATCTTCAGATGAAAGCACAGAGCCAGAGGGCTTGGGAGCACAGCTTCGATTCTGTGCGAAGTGGTATTCGCAGCCCTGCCGTGTCCTACTTCCTCCAGACAACAAGCGTGCTGTTGTTACCAGCTGTCTTTTGAGCAGAAACTAAGATTAAAAAGGACAATCAAGCATCCCCCATCAGCTCTGGCCCGAACAGGTGAACCCGTGTTCAGGACACTGACTGAAGAGCCCCCATTGCCAGTTGCAGGTCAGAGGTCAAGCCGGAGCTGAGTCAAGAGTGGCGGTGACACGACTCAACTGGCAAAGCCTAACTGGGCGGCACAATGATAGAGACGAAAAGAAGACAGCAGGCAATTCCAAAACAGGATCATCATAAAATCACAAGATTGTGGTACTGGTCAATGCTGCTTTTGTATTCCTTGGAACCCACCAACTGAACAGGCATGTAGTTAACAATAAAAGAACCACAGCTGACGATGACTTGTAATACACTGCTGCAGAATTATTACCAGCTAGGAGCTGATCCTCAGAAACTGGGCAGTGAAAAACCACACAAGGACATTGCCTGCAATCTGAAGTGCCTCATTTGTTTTCTGGGAAAGCTTTAGCTGGAAGGCATGAATCTGACACCACCATTCCCAGGCCCACACTCACTCTCAGCAGCGCTGAAGTACTCTGGGTTGACAGAGGCATACAGAACTCCGTTCCCAAGCCTGTCACTGTTCCTGGGGAAACAAGATCACATATTTAGGACAGGCCGCTTGTTTTTAATAGCGTACAAGTGGAAAGAATTTACACTGAACAGAATGTACACTGTTTCCCCTGTCAAAAAGTTTTGAAAGTTTAATAAAAACAGAAAGGCTTTCAGCCCAGAAAAATAAGGTATGTAACCTCATGTGCCTCCTGATATCTGCAAAATATTTATGTTTTGAGCTAAATAAACCCTTGCTGAGAAAAATATTCCTTTAATATTTGTTGCCTCTTGTAACACTGTTGTCCTAGACAAAGAATTCCCCAGCGTAATCATATCAACATCAGAAACACTGTAAAGATGAGGAGACTCTGTAACTAAAAACAATCCCAGAACTGTATCCAGCTGTTTCTTGAAAGATCCAAGTGAGTCACCTTCAACAACATGGCCGGATAGTTTGTTCCAGAATCCCCTCCTCTCTCTGTAACAAGAAGCACCTCCTGTTTTTAGATCTTGGCACACTTGCTGTTTTGCTGCTTTTTCTGAACACTGGAGAGATTCAGTTCCTCTTACCTGTGTACAACACTCCTTTGACCAGGATCATCTGAATGTGTTCTTGTTGTGCTCAGTCTGATTTATTATCCCTTTTCTAACTATTCTTTTCACTGTACTTTCAGCAGTCTGATAGTTATTTTTATTGCTCTGTAACCAGGGAGTGCTACAATCTTCAGAAGGACATATCTGGCAGCACTATGTTGTGGGGCTCCACATAAATTGCCCATGGTTAAAAAATGTACCACACACTTAAAACCTGGACCCATTTAGCACAAGGAGAGTGTGATCGTGCTCTTGGTATGGCTTCCCAGAAGGTGCGAATTTAAGAAGAAGTGTGATGTGTGACTAAAAAGTAACTTAGTCGTTTAGTTCTTGTTAGTTTGCTCCTTTCGGGCCAAGAGAAAAAAAGCTTTAAGATTCCTAAGCATGAGTCTGGGATGAGCTCTGTGTGACTGTGACCCGGACAAGGAAGAAGCAGCTTTCCGATTGCAGATGAGTGGATGACAGCCACAGGGCACAACTTTTGGTTGGTGCCAATCATTCCTGTTCGTTGTCCTCCCAGTGTTCAGATGCCAAGTCTTCGGAATTCTAACCGGAGGATTGTCAACCTGCCCGTGCTCCAGGACAGAAGCACAACTGCTTTGGTCCACAGTTCTGCTTTGCAAGAGTACACATAAACCTGGCACTAATGTGCGCTTAACACCACAGAAACGAGAGACGGGGCAGCAGGCATGCCCAAATCTCTGCCCACAAACTAGCTTTGGCATACTCACCTCTTCTTGTTAAACACAATGAGCACCACCACCAGGACAGCGAGGCCCAGCAGCACGATGACGGGAATGATGATCATGAGATAGAACATGTTCTCATATTTTGTGGCTGTAGAAAGAAGAACAGTAGCCATTATTAAATTCTAGCACAGTGGTAGCTCCACGGGACCACTCCTTAATATCAGAAAGTTCTGCATGCTGCACTGCAACACCAGGGACTCATCTCTCCCACCTCCTGCTCTGCTGAGAGGTAAGTCTCTGTGCATTGGAATGCTGTCCATTTGAGAAACACAACTCAATTATTTGAAAAAGCCACCTTCCCTCTGCTTTTTCGCTCTTTCCTTATGAGCACGTGCTTCCTGTTTACGAAGTCAGCTATGTCTCTCAGGTACAGTATCAATGCTTTGAAATCCAATCCCACCATTTAATGTGCAACACAACACTGGACAAAGGCAAACAGCAGCACTCAGGGTACCACAGGGGTCACCCACAGGCACTCATGTGGAAAGAGGATGGATTTGTTATACCCAACCGACCCATTACATTCAAGTCATTTTATGAGACTGTTCTCATAAAGAAATCACTTAAAGGCACAATGGAATTGTAGCCTGAGTTTTCAATACGTTGATCACCCCATTCTTAAGATGCTGCAGAAGTAGTTGGTAGGTGAATAGCTGCTTACTTAAATAAAAGTTTAAAATCTTGATGGTCTGCTGTACAAGAAACAAGCTGATAAAATGCACTGCTGATAAAGCATTGCAGTATGTTTGCTTGGTCACACGCAAACACTAAAACACAGGTATAAACAGATCACACTGATCTCTCAATGTGTAACAAAAAGAAGTTGAGGACAGCACAGCATTTCAGAGAGTGATTCTCTTCATGCACTAGGTATGCACAGCACTTTTGTAGGAGTTTTGTAAATCCTTTTCACAATGATCTCTCCCAACAGGTACGACCAATTTCTAGACATTAAAGTATTAATGTGCAGTTATCAAAGTGACTTCAAGAAAGCAAAGATAAACCAATATGCCTCAGGCGATAGTGGCTCGCGGCACTGCCAGATTACAAAATCAAGCGATTTTAATCAAGAGCCATCCAAGCGTACATGACAAGCTCCTCTCTAACCTCCATCTTGCCCTACTACACAGCTTGCAAGAGGCTGGAGAGCCAGAGGAATCGCTGCCGTGCTGCTAGGAGATTAAGGCCAGCCACCCCCTGCTCTGTCCTGGGGTCACTGTGCCAGCTCTGTGCCACACAGGGAATCCAGGTCAAAGCCAGCCAGGGGTATTACCACTGAAGCCCGAACTGCTTCTGTCTGGGCTACAGCCTGGCCCAACCCGCGCTCCGGACTCTGAGCGGTCATGAAGAAGTGTTGTTAGAAACCCAGACGGCTCTGGACCGGATAGCACTCGCTTCAGCGCGGCCAGTCCAGAATGCACTCCCTCTGACTAAGTCTCGTCTGTCAGACACACGGACACATTCACAGAACATGCTCCTGTTACTGGGGCAGGGAAAAAAAAAATCTCGGGCAGCCTTGCAGTGTCCTTACGTTTGGCTTGCACATAGAAGTTCACGGCCTCAGTCCAAGATCCATTTCCAGCCAGAGAAGTGGCCCGCACCCGGGCAGAATAGTTGCCATGCCCCAGGTTCGACAGTCTGGCCCATCCGTGAGTCTTGTAGTGCTGCCGGGAGACGCATTCGTGTTTCTCCATCTCAAAAGAGAAAGACAAAACTGCGGTCAGTCATGTGCTCTAACCAGCAAGCCAGCGGTCTCATAGGAGGGATTTAGATTTGGCTGCTAAAAGCAAATGGTAGAAAAACAAGGGAATAGGGACACAATATTAAAATGTTTAAAAATTCCAAAACTAAATAATTTTCAAGGATACAATTTTGCATTTGGGGGGGGGCAAATACAGAGCATGTCCCGCTATCCAACTACAATTCGCTTATGACTGAAGAGCTACTTCATGTGGAAATAAAATTGAGGCAGAAAGAAAATAGCTTCCGGAAGGAAATGCGGGCAGTGTGGTTTGCCTCATAATATAGACCTTCCTAGGCACTCACCTCCGCGGCCTGACGGAACTTAATCTCGTACATCAGAACAAGACCATTGGGATTCACCGGTTCAGGCCACTTGAGCAAAACACTGTCATCCTCGCCCTTCTCCCATGCCACCAGCCCCGGGATGTCATCAGCTTTGTCTGAAAGGTAACAAAATTAACCATACAGTCGGAAACGTTCAGCTCTGCAAACACGAAATACCAGAGAAAGAGATTTAGAATCCACCCTTGCCTGTCCACGGTATTAGGCAACGAATATGAAACAATGCTAACTGAGCATCATGAGCCCCATGAGTAGACCATATCTACGACAGGCAGGAGGCTCCCATTATTCTCACTGGTCAGAACAACCCCTTAGATCTCATTCCTTCTGAAACCCAGTGGTGCAACAGTCAGTTCAGTCTCGCCCACCTTTGCCCTCGTCACATACTCGGCCATTCTGCCACAGGAAGAGATGGATTTGGGCTGCAGATATTTCCGAAACTGAGGAATACGTGCCACATCTCTGAGTTTGAAGGTGGTGGCCACTGACTTTCACACACCTGAACATCAGAGGTTTTGAGCACACACAGTCTCCAGATGAAATGTTGTATGGGTTTCATTAGGTGTCAACCAATACTTCTAATAAATGCAGACTGTAAAGACTATGAACAGTATAAAGAGTAAGGATTTCACATTGACAAAAATGTAGCAGAGAATTACACTAGCAACGTCCCATACAACATTAATTCGATTACTTATCAATGCAGATTTATTACCACATTACAATACCCTTTGTAATTGTTTAGCGACAAAGATTTGAGTTCAGTTAAAAAACAGTGTCTTCCACTTTTACATGTGAAGACAGAGAAATCTTGGTGCAAACACTGGGAGACACTGACAAACTTGAAGCAGAACTGCAGATTGTGTTATGCATGTGTTGTTCCTGGAGGGCCAGGTAGTGAATATTTTTATTCATTCAAAGCCGTTTACAACACTTTTTCTTTCAGAAAAAAGAGGTACAGGAGATTTCTTTACGATCAGAGCTGAAGAAAGTCTGGCACAAGCTCCCCAGCTAGTTCAAAGGTAGTTGTAAAACATGTCTTCAAACCTGGAGGGCAGTGTGAACATGCCCCAGTTAAACGAGGGGGTACAGGTGTAACCCGCTCCCGCAGTTTGCCCCCCATCCCCCCCCCCCAGCGCATAGGGGGCTCTGTCAGCTTCTGGGGGGGAGGGGGCAGCGGGAGACGGTGGGGCGACTGACCTGCAGGCTTGGTCCTGGAGAAGACGAAGGCGGCAGCGCTGCAGTGCTTGACCTCGTGGTTGCAGGCGTGGATGTCGATGCGGTACACGGTGAAGGACTGCAAGTGGGAGATCTCCGTCCATTCCCGCCCGTGCACCTTGGCCTCGTAGAAGGGATATTCCCGCTGGCTGGGCTCCAGCTCCGTGCCGTTGCCCTCCGGCCCCGTGGCGTTCCCGCCCGTGCTGCGTGGCAGGCTGGCGTTGGCCACGGCGAAGATGTCTCGGCGCCGACGGTCTGGCGGCCTGGGATTGGGTGGAGGAGGAGGTGGCAGCAGAGGGGCAGGAAGAAGGAAAACACAACAATTAAGAGCTGCTGAGAGTGACGGGAGAAAGAGACTCAGGACGGGTCCCCCAGGGAGAGAGAGAGGGCAGAAGAGGAGCAAGCTGGGTGAGAGAGGAAGAAAGTGGCGAAGACTACAGGCTACCCATCCACAGGACGATGTGACAAGAAATGTGATCTCAATTCATCCTTTCCCTTTTCTGCAAAGCCAGTCTCTTAAAACATACAGCCCCCCCCCCGCCCAGCACTCTTCAAAACAGCCGAGGGAGCAGAACACAGGCGCCAGGAGTTTTACAGGATGCCGATCTCTGCAAAGGACTTGGCTCTCGGGCTGCTGTCAATACCTCTTCCATCGAGGGCGTTTGGCAGGAAAAGATTACTGCTCCTCACAGTGAGAAATAAATCTGGTTTAAGGCACTGCCCATGAGAGGTGTCCCTGATAATGCCGCTCGTTTCGGCGGCTCACCGTCTCTGTAAAAGGGATGGTGATTGAGAGAGAGAGATGAAAGCAGGATAAGGAGAGGCACAGCAACAGTTTTGCTTGAGGTAGTGGACTTGCGACCAGGTGCGTCCTGTTGGTACACTGACGACTCTCGCACAGCAGCAGCACAACACCACCGCCAGAGCTCTCACCGACACAGCACAGTGCCATCAACGCCAGTCCAGTCACAGCTCAACAACGAGCGAAGCACTACAGTACGGACAGCCTGAACTTTACACCACATAGGAAAGATCTTACCTAAAACTCTTACTGCATCGGACGGGGCTTCCAACATAAAGAGAAAGGCCCAGACCACGGGGAAACCGCATAGGTCAAATGGCGAGGCTTAGAAAGAAACTAATCACTCTGTGCCCCTTGTTTCCTGGGTTGCTCCGTTCTCCACTATGAGAGGTTTTATTGCTATGCAAATGAATCCTAGTCCAAAAGACCAGTGAAGACAGACCGTGTGGTGTCTCTTTAATGAGCTGAGCCAAGCACAATGTCCCCATGTGGACAAAATGTCACCCCCACACTCTTAAGAAATGACAACCCCAGCTCTAAGCCCCCGGCACTGTGGCGCTGTTGGCAGGGCACAGGCTGGGGCAGCAGCCAGGGCAGGCGGTCTCCTGCTGGCTTGCAGTGACACTCACCAGCCCCTCTCCTGTCAGGCCCTGTGGAGTCAGCAGCGAGTCAAATGACAGGAGCATTGTGTGTCTCATTCCCTCCCAAGGGCTGTAGATGAACAGACGATTCTTAACGCTATTATCACTTCTGATCGAGTAGGCGGCACAATAATTAATTGAAAAAAAATCAATAATGTTTTTTTTTAAATGCACTACACCATGTGGATCATCGTTTGTCCAAAACTCGTTTCCCAATTGTCGCTCTGGACTCGGACATCTGCACAGCTGTAAAACGGGCAGGAGCAAACTAGAAGACACGAACAGAGAGGGGACGCCTGGGCGTACGAGCCCCCAAAGAGCCAGTGAGGCTCCCAGGCGAGCCGGTCAGCAAGCAAGGGGTCTCGAGGGGCCGACGCCGGGCTGGGGCTCTTGGGGGGCCGGCACGATGTCAAGCGGCCATGTGAACTCGAGCCCTTCAGTACGCTGCAGAACGGACGGCTGTTCTGTTGCTCTCAGAAACTGCACCATTAGATGTGGGGCGCCCGAGTGCCCTGCCTTACAGTCGGAGGCTGTGCATGCTGCAGTTTACCCCCCGTCCTTCCAGAGCCCCCAGAGCTCGGCTGTGCAATGAGGTCACTGGGCACGGGGGAGTCCCTATGAACCCAGAATGAGCTGCCTCTGTCCCCACAAGGCGTGCTCGCCTCTTCTCCACCTCCTGAACCCGACTGCAAGTGCAGGCATCAACAGAGACGGAAAGCTCTGGTAGGTAAAGAGGGAGTTCATTCTGTCCAGAGCTCTGGACTCACAATGCCAGCCTTGTCCCACGTGACGTCATCTTGCTGTAAAACACCGGGATCGGAATGCACTTCATTTTGTTTAAATTTGTATTTCTCTTAAATGAAGGCATTAGCCATGGCCTCGGGGAGAGACGAAAACATTTCTTTTAAAGCACACAGAAGGACAAATGCATCACCGTAGTATGGATTTTAGAAAAGTTCCCTTTAATAGCCAATTGCAGAATAAAAAAAAATACTTTTTAGAATCTATATATGAAGTTTGTAGACTGATTATGTGTTTTTCAAACTGCAGGCATAGGAGGTCAGAAAGGGTCAGATCATTATTTACAACCCACACATGACACATTACCAATCCTTCTGTATCAGTGGAGGTAGATATACAGCATTGCTTTGTTGGGCACTGGATTATTCTTATTAGCATTTAAAGCTCTCACGCTTTCCAGAGGTGCAAGATGGGCTCATGTCTTTGACACTTACTGATTATTCTACTTTGCAGTGAAAACAACCCTGAATAAAACTGAACAGAAACGAAATGGAAAAACAGAAAACACAAAAAGGTACGCTTTGTTGTGGCATCCTCTGAAATGTTAGGGTGGAAACTGTAGTTTAGTGAACTGGCTGCCTATGGAACGATGAATAATATAAGGGCATACTGCCGTCTAAAGTATTTTCCTGGGGCAGGGGTGAGGGGCAGTTTTGCACTGGCTTGGCGGAGCAGGACCATGCTTGTAGGGACCTGTGATACAAGGGTCAGTTTGGGCTCAGGCCAGGAAACTGCTAATGGCAACCCCTACCCTTCGTCACACTCCCATCCATTAGAACGCCCGACATGCCTCACTTTATGTCTGTAGTTCTACTTCTGAAACGCACTTCTCAAAGCGCTCCGCATGTGAACGAATCTGTTACCTACTATGGCGTCTCGAGTTTCCACTTTTCCTTGTGAGCAATAAACTACGGCTTGAATTTAAAAGTCAAAGTTCAATTAAACTGGTTGCCGGGCAGAGCCCAGCGGGGAAGGCAGCTGTACGGGCCGGGCCGGGCGCTGACCGAGGTGGGAGGGGAGAGTCCAGCCCCTCCTGCTGCGGCGGAACACGTTCGTGTAACCCAGCGAAACAAAAGCAATGAAGGTATGAACACCAAAAGCAGAAACACGCAATGAGGAGCTCACTCCAGACGTGCCACCACACGGAGACGGACGCCGACAGAGACGGAAGCAGGGCGGCCGCCTCAGCACACACGGGACGTGAGCGCACGCCACAGCGCGGCCTTACCTAGCATCGCCCGTAAGAGACGTGTAACGATTCGCTCTTTTGGGATCTCTGAAAAGATTAAAACATGGTCCTGCGTTTTATTCCACTACGGGCAAAATCCAGAGAGAGAAACAAACACGTGGAAGGACGGACCGATGGACATTAATAAGAAGGAACGCCGGGACACGCTGACTCGGGAAAACGAGCGGGAAGGGGGGAGGTGTGACATCGGGATACGGGGGGGATGCAGATAATGCAAGACAACCCGTGACTACAGCAACACAAGACGGGATGTTCGGATACTGTACCTGGGATCTACAGCCTGCGATTTAAGACCTGTGGCTAGGCTCGTGGTTACAAAAAAACGAAAATGCCCGATCAAAGTGCTCAGGCTTTCCAAATGAGTAACTAGATTGGGTGGCCTCTCACAAAATGGAGATATAAAATATAAAAAGGTTGGAACAGCTTGCAGGAAACCTGCTCAGTGTAGGACAATAAGCAATGGTGCATGTATCGCAGTCGATCTTGGGGATAAGGGACTATGGATGACGTGTCCATAATGTAAATACTGAAATATTATAACACTACATCCAAAGTCTTTGTCTCAGTGTTCAGATGACCAATATAAAGGCCAAACAGAAAGGGCTAAGTTTTGATTTTCTTTGAAAGTACTAGCAACAGCGCTAACAGTTAAATGACAAGCATAGAATACAAAAACACTGGAATATCGATTTGTTTCAGTTACTGACATCCAGTACTGCTAGCAGAGGTTTATGAACTCTGGTTAGTATATAACTCAAGAACGATATTTGTTAAGCCACACGCTGCCCTATTTCACTGCTTGAGAAAGCGAAAGGCCAGGGCAGCAAGCTCTGGGCCTTCACTCCAGCCTGCGCCCTCAGACAAGGGACAGGCCAGGATCAGTCCAGCCCTCAGACACAACCTACGACACCGCCGGGAGGGAAGAAGAGAGAAGGTTAAGCAGCTGGGAGTGACCCCCACACCGGTCACTCCTCCCCCTCGCAGACAGATAACTGAAGAGAGAGAAAATACAACACAGGGTTTAGTCCGATCTTCTGCTTGTACCTCCAGCCTCACGTGCCTGTCAGGGAAATAACTGGTGAGAAAAGGGCAGTCTGAGAGTTTCTCACACAGCAGCTGGCCCCTAAACAACACCTTCATAGTGTTTACCAGAGACGCCAACCTAATCAATCCTACAACCCATACAGGAACTTCCCACAGCCTGCTTCATTTATCTTGGTGAAACATTTACCCTGGTCAGTGCGCCGAGAGGGACGCAGGTGAGGGCACAGGGCTTGTTTCACAGGAACTCGGGTGCTTGTGATCCAATTAACGAACTCCAAGGCCCTGGCCCTTCGAGCCAGTCCCCGAGTCGTTGTGCACTTCAGCTGTGTCGTAATGAAGGGAATCATTTGCAAATCACCTTAAATAAAACCCCTCTTATGTATAAACAAAACATTAAGTTATTTGCACATGAAAATCATTATTGACAGCACATATATTAGTGTCACATTTCAATCGTATGTTTTGTGCATTGTATTGTTATTAACATTGCATTGATTGTACACATCTTGTAAAGTCCACTGGATGTTGTATGTATTCTGCATTGAACTGTTTGTATTGTTGTCTCTTTATAGGTGGATGATAAAGTAGATTCTGTTTTAACGACTCAGGAACGATAAAAAAAGACACAGCTCCACAGAAACAGTTTGAGATGCCTCTCTCTAACTTCATACACTTCTTAACTTAAAAACAGCATCTGTATTATAATTGCAAAGGATGTAATGCCACTTAGTGGTTGAGATCACCCTGTATTACCCATTTTTAGAGGTTTAAATCGCTTGATCAGTTAAGTGAAAAATGTAATTAAGGTCACTCTGCTCCTCGAGAATTGTCAGAAAGCTGTTCTGCATGTTCTCTGAATTTTAACAAACTGCTTGCTTAATCAATAACAATTAAACTGTCACAGCCCTTTTAAAATGTTCTGCTGTAAGGGTGACATACAGTACAACAGTTGTCGGACAGCAGCTCTTCAGGACTAAGGCAGGAGACTTCCGGTTTACAGGATTTGATTCAATGTGTTGTCCTACATAACACAGAATGCCTTAGTCATCTCCAGCCCCCTTAGTTCTCCCTGAACCTACTTACAAACAGCCTAATAGGAGTGGTATATTTCTATAAATTATATATAAATACACTATCCAAATGCACTGAAGCACCCAGCTTCTTCTGCAATTCAGGGTTGCTGCGAATATGAAAACAAAATCTCTTGGAACGGGACAGCTATTGATGCTGATCACTTTATGCCAGGCAAGGCAAAAAAAGGAAGAAACTGCCAGGAATGGTGCAGTGCAGAACCCTAAAGAAGAAGGGTCAGGAGTGTTGGATCAGCTGGACTACTACAGACTGAGTCTGTTCAGCTGCTCCATCTGATCGGGCAGAATCTCATAACCCCAGAAGAACCTGTCTCCAGACATGCTTCCAAGAAACAGCCAGCTTATTTCAAAAAGGTCTGAAATACTAATAATAATAATTATAATAATTGCTTACACTTATATAGTGCTTTTCTGGACACTCCACTCAAAGCGCTTTACAGGTAATGGAGACTCCCCTCCACCACCACCAATGTGCAGCCCCACCTGCACCTAAACCTACTAGTTTAACTTTAAAAAGTGCCTGCAAAATTACCGTCCAGTCGCCGCCTCAACGTGCGCTGGTGAATCAGGACACTCGAGCCTCTGCTCCCACAACACGCAACTGATACACAATGTAAAGAAAAGTCTAATACGCTATAAAAAGGCTGAACAATTTGAGAAGAAAAGCCAACCTGTCTGGCATTTTTCCAAAATCCCAGATGAGGGTTAACGAAAGATGCCAAAAGACACGAGTGGTTTGCCGCGTTCCTGCCTCGAGCAGCTGGAAGAGGAAGCGAGCTCGGCCCCTGCACTGTGCCCAGGAACCGTCCCGAGGGAAGGAGCGGGCCAGTCTGTTTGTGTCCTGCAGGAGGGAGCCTGGCGTGACGGACCCTCCTGCGCCTCTGCCGCGGCCCCCCCGGGGAGGGGACAACGAGAACGGGAGCGTTGTCCCTCATGCCCCATCAGAATCAACCTAGCGTTTTCTCCTAGTGCCACAGAAAGACAATCTGAAGAAAAGAAAATGCTTTAAAAGGTGTTAAACGTGTTAGGCGCTGCACGGCCTGGCTTTTTCTAAAGAATCCTGACAGGAATGAAACTAGTAACTGTGGCTGCTGACCTGAAAAACTTACATTTTTTTTAGAACAAAAACAAAACTGACAAGACATCTGTGTTCCCCTGCCCTTTTGGGGGGCTGTTTCCTTAAACTACAAAAAGTGCGTTTCAACACAAACGCGGCTAAAAACCAAGATGATAGAAATGGATAACAATGGAAGCCCAAGGAGGACTCACTCCCCGCCCAACGTGACCACCACACCTGTCCTCGTCTACACACAGCACACCCTGGACTTAACAGACTTCAGGTACAATGGACATGATCCGGACAGCCCGAGGCAAAGCCCTCAGATCTGCTCCTGCCCGGCTGGTTTTTCATTTTTGTGCGCAGGCGCGAGGCGAGGACGCAGAGCCAGGAGCTAGAACTTCGGCACTTCTGCGGTTCCACAGGTCCGCAGGAACTAGAACTAGGACTACGGTGCAAAGAAACGGTGTCCGATATGAAATTTTGGTAAAATGTCACGGGGACGCAACGTGGAGTGGATCGTTGTCGGTGCTGGAGCGTGTGGATCAGTAGGAGGAGACTGTGCCGTCTTGGGCTGTTGATGCCAGCATGCTGTTGGGAGTGGAAATTCATGCTGAAGCTCACAGCACGCAGAGCACACAAACATCCCTTCCGCTGCTAGCTCATGGCTTTACAGTACATTACTTCTGTTGTAAAAGTGCGGTACTTCAGATTACTGATTGTTTTATAATATCTTATTAAACGCACTGCACTGTAATTGCCATTTTAGAGTTTTCATTCATTACTGATCAATTATGGTGCTATGTTCTGTGATGGCTGGGGGCCACGATTATCGGACAGCTCTTCCCCCTGCGGCAGTGCCATCATGATGTTTACATACAGCTGCAGGATGTATGAATGATTTCATGCGGATTTGCCAGCCTGGACCTGGGGCTCACAAGCAGAACTAGGGGACACTCCTGCAATTCTTCACCTGCTGCGTACACTCGGGCTGCTTGCGTGACCCCAGGAGCCACCAGCCGAGCTGGGCGACAGCGAGCCCCAGAACAGCCGAGATTCCAGGGTGGGAAAGGCCAGACGAATCGGATCTCCTCAAGTCTGCGCTGGCTGAATGGAGGGGATCTTCCCTTTATTTCATTAGTATTCCAGATGGCTTCGCTGTGCATTTCCTGGCAGCCAGGCTGCCGCTTTGACAAAGAGTGCGAGGAGGGGGTGCGAAATGGGAAACATTTCCTCTGTCTTCAGTTTCCTTTTTTGTTTTGGAAATCGTGAACTTTGTAACTTTATTAGGCGCTCTGAAAGCCTGAAAGCACCCTGCCCCCAGTAAAGGCAGGCCGTGTGTTTGTCTTGGGGCTGGCGGATGTTTCTCGCCTGTGAAATCTCCTAGACTGGCGGACTGCTGCTGCATCTGTCCAAGGATGATGAAACACCACAACAAAAATGTTGCAAGAATCTGGCTGACCAATACCACGTTGGTGTCAGAGTGCCTTAACCAGCATTGTAGTGGTAATAGGGCTTCACTCCTCCACGTCTTAAGAAATATTTGAACCGTAGGAGACACTTCATTCCAGCACAAACACATTAAAGCGTCTCATCGGGATTTTCCAAACTCGCACAAAGGTGCCCAATAAATGAAGCCGATACAGGCTAAGTGCAGCACACCTGATCAGCTACCACACCCTGTTTTTGGGGTGGTTACAGGTTAAACACAGATAGGCTGGCCTGCTGTTCACAGCTGATGAAGTACAAACATTCGCAATGACTACATCTGAGCAGAGAAATATCACTTAATTAAAAAATATATATATTCTTCAAAGAGTCAAGATTCAGACCTTTTATCTATGTGTATTCGACTATTTTTTTTAAGAGTAGCGCCCAATTAATATTTTGATTAAGCTAGTAATCAAATTATCTTAAAAGACGCATCAGATTATTCAGATGAACCAATGTACTTTAGAGAGAAGAACTTGATTCTTTTGGTTATATTTTTCTATAGACGTACAGTATCTTGGTACCTCGGCTGCATGTAACCTTTGAAACGCATCTAGAATGAATGCCCATATTTTTTGCTTTTCAGCCTATAAACTAGGTACATTCAGAGGCTGTGTGCAACATTTGCTAATCAAACATTGTGCTCAAAACATCCTTCTTTTAAAGTACAAGTGTTCATTACATCACCAAACAGCGTTCCAACACTAATAAAATTCCCACTACACCACTAACCTTAACTGAGCCATTCTGGGTGAGGATCCCAGCCCCAGAACAAAACCAAACTCCACCAGCCAAACAACTCTGCTGCATAGGCCTAACCTCACCTTACCGAAAATGTCATCCAAGTGGGAAGAAAAACACAACTCATCATGAAAAGATCAAAAGATCAAGCAGAAACCTGCAAATACTGATGTCATCTTCCTCCCGATGACCAGGGCTGAGAAAGGCTGTCTCCTTCAGTTTCACTCAGGATGATCTCTCCCACATCACAGCAGGGGAAAGTAACACTAATCCCACAAGAAGGGCCACAGAGGCACACCTGGTTTAGTACAGAGACAGAGCAGTCTCGGGTGGAGAGGACGAGCTCCACCCTCCCAGTGTCACAGCACTGCCCTCTCCAATGCCTGAAAGCCAAACAGGGCAGCCACAGGCAAGAACTGGCCTTGTGCTACAGGGAGAGCTGTGCCCTGAGTTTACCCTGAAAGAGGCTCACATTTAAAATGCAATCAGTCTCACAGCGTGGGGGAAAAAAGCTTTGAATCCATGAAACATCCATAGCCACTAGCAAGGTAAAAGATAATACAATACAGATGTCACTCCCCTGATATAAAAAACACTGCACCGTCCAAATCTAACGCTGAAAGCTCACCAGATGGAGTGCCTCAGCATTCCCATTAATTTATCAGGTTTCCTTTTGTTTTTCCTAAATGGCATCCTAGTAATTCTTCAAGCTAAAAATATTTCGCCCCCAGGACAGTACTTCTGAACCGCTGAGAGGTGGGGAAGGGCAAAACAAAACACCGGATCTGAGATGACAGGGCTTTTAAAAAACAATCCCCATTTCCCCGCAAGGGGACACACCCTCACACACGGCAAGAGGGCAGCCAGTCCTTGAAAAGGAATCTCAGATGGTTAGAGCTCCGCAGAAGCTGTAAGCAAAGAAAGCAGCTCAATGCTGAGAGTTTCCCCAAAGACCACACAGCCAGTTCAGTGTGAAACACAAAGTCTTCGTCACGAAGGCTGCGCACCACTGTCGAGATCAGCACCTTAGTGTAAGTGGGGTTTGGGTGTGAAGCACTGTGAGACCACGTGATAAGAAGGTGCTATATAAGTGTACGTGTGCACTCCCCCAAATCCCTTTGCCGTCTTCCAGGTTCCTCCGGTATACCTGGGTGTGAAGATGGAGTTGTGCAGGAAGTTTTCAAAGACTTTGCGGTAGGAGGCGTCCTCGGCCTCAGCCTTCAGTTCGTCCACCGTCTTGGGGCAGACGCAGCACGGGCCCTTTTCCCCTCCCCCCGCGTCGGACTTGGTGGGCTTGGTGTCCTCGTCCAGGTCTACGGCCCCCGTGGCTGGGATCCGGATGGGGATTTTCAGCTCTGAGTGCGGGAGAAAAGAAAATCAGCACCAGCATTCCCGGTGCAAACCCTGCCCAACTTCTGTGGGGTAACCTGCTGAACTTGAACCCCCATCTGCTGCCGCTGGAAGCTTTAAACCCTCAGCAGATCAGGCCAGCAACCAGATGAACTACGACAAGGCCCACCTTTGGAGCAGTAGTTGTGTCGATAGAGCTCGCGGTCCTCAGGCTGCTGCTGCCAGCGGACGAGATAGTAGGTGAGGTTCCCATTGGGGGAGGTGGGGGGAGACCACTTCACCAGCAGCTTTGAGGAGGAGTTGGAATAAGACCGCACATCCAGGGGCATCGAGGGCTCTGCAATCCAAAACAAAAACCATTGCAAGTTCAAGCTAAAAGCAAGCAGGACAAAGATGGACTTCTCCAGCCATGATTCACAGCTGGGTCTTTTAAAACTGCTGAAAGCCAAATAGCTTCTTGTTTATCCACTCTTCAGGCTGCACTATACATTTTAAGAGAGACTGAACCAAGTTGCTTTAAAAGTTCCAAATTGAAAACTTTTTTTAGTATACTGAAGCTCAAGCTCAGTACAGCCACCATGCTTTTCTTAAAATAAAACAAAATGTGACAGTAGGAAGGAGTAAACTAGACTGAATTTCAAATTCTAGTTTAACTGTCCTTTAGAAACCAAGTGTCATGGGCAAATTCCTCCCATGTAAATTTCACAGACAGCTCATCAAAGTCAAAATCCTGCCTGTTAACCACCAGAGACAGTGCTGCTGCTGGCATACTAAAATCAATGAAACATAAAGATGAATAATTTGCTTTTTTTCACAAATATCTGGGAATTGCAGCTCAACTGGTTTGGTCCCATTTGCATCAGACGTGATGGAGCACTCAGACCCGCTGGCCCTTGGGTGGGCAGGGTACCTGATGCATTGGTGCGGATGTAGACCACTTCACTCTTGGCTCCCAGGATGTGTCTGTCCTCTGCCGCCAGGGTGATGGCCTTGACAAAGATGGCGTACTGAGTCCAGGGCTTCAGTGGAGACAGCAGGACGCCAGGGTCCCCCTCCTTGTCGGGAAGGTCAACGTCCACCATGTTCCAGCTGTTGGACCCGCAACCGTCCTGTCCATCAAACTCCGTGATGTTCTGGTAGGGCCTGCAAAACACGGCAAGGCCAAACTTGGTAAAAAGGGAAGAAACACTTCACTTCTACCATCCTCCTCCAAACTGCTGGGGCAATACATCAAGAACTGCAGTCTGATGCTACAGGCTGCAGGAGCAGCAAGCCACTATGTGGATAAATAAGGGCCACAGGCCGGGGGTCCTCCTCCTGTCTGCAACTTTTCCTACTACTACTCCAGATCTTCCAGAAGCAAACACCAGGTGCTGCACATTTCAGGTTTGTCATTTTTTCAGGAAATGAGCAGAACCACGCACAGCACAGGGAAAACAAGGATATAAACTGCTCCTACACAGTGCAAGAGGCTGCCCACTGTCGTAGTCAAAACAGCTCCAATTGCCAAGCAACCCCTAAAACCCGCCACTGCCACCAGAGGTATCATTCACAGACACTGTTAACAGACACAACACACTCACGCCTCCTTGTAGTAGACGATGAAGCTGATGAGGTCCCTGTAATCCGCAGGCCGGTACCTCTCCCAGGTCAGCTTGATCTTATTGCTCATGGTGCTGTTGGATTTGAACTTCAGGATGTAGCTCTCGCCTTGAAAAAAATAAACACGTGTCCCCTTCAGGAAACATGCAACCGTTTCCAAGAAAAAGAAAACAGAAAAGCGTGCAGGAAACAATTTGGTTTTGACATTTTAATGTTCATGGGTAAAGTTTTAAGAACACACCGACTGCAAGTCTTTCACAGATGGCGAATTCCCACATGTGCTTCACATGTGGCTATCCATCATCACCGAAGGCTAACAGTGCCGATTCACAGCACGTGAATTTAGATTTGGAAACAACTGTGTCCCCAGATCACTTTAATCTCGTGTGTGCCAAACTGATTTAAACTCTTATTTAAAGGTTACAAACTGGCAGCTCTTTCATTCAAATTCCTCTTGGGGAAAAAAAAAAGACAGAACACTTTTCAGGAAACTGATTTGTGACCCAGGACATCTAGAAACATCCCGAGCAAGGCAGTATGGTTTCATGTGTATTAAAAGCCTACTCTCCCATCTGTTAAAAGAGTAAGCAAATTAAGTTGTTAATTTATATTGAATTACCAAATGTATTCATCTCTAAAATTCTCTTCTATTCAAGAAAGATTAATTCAACCACTCAAAGGCAGCTTATTTAGAAGGATTCTGGCTAGCTTCTAATACCACCTTAACCACCAAGTCTGAATCAGTGTCTAAAGCCCTACTTTCCCCATGACTGACGGTTTTACCATCTAAGCTAATTATTAATAATTACTAGATCAAATCCCTGTAATTGATTACATGAGGAACACAGTGCTGTACCAACCTGTCTATTTAATTTTCATTGCCTGTGATTTAAAGAAGTGAGATTACAGTTTTAAAAGTAATTTTGCATGTGACCTGCTGAAGCAGTTTGTCATTTATCCATTAGTGGCAGATGAACATCATAAATTCACTTTTCTGAGAAAGGAAGAGACTGAACAGCTGCTGCAGTGTTGTGAGCACTGCCCAGGCCCCTGGATTTCAATGGAAATCTAAATCCTAATAAGACAAGTCATGGGGATTTGGTGATGACCAATCACAGAACTGTAAAACCGAAGCAATTAGGTGCTCAGAAAACAACCAAAATGAATGAGCTCATTATTACGCCTCACAAAATAATTACTGTGGCCTCAATGCATCAGCTATGACGCCCTTTCAATACAGGAGCAGAAAGCTAGTTTAAAGATCTAGCTATAAAGATAAAGAAATTCAACAACCTGGATAGTCTGCACACAAAGTGCACAACACTGATGCTTCCTTGTATAGGGTGGCATTAGAAATTAGCTTGTAAATTACTTGTGATTTACCAGACTTATTACAGCAGAAAAACAAACAGGAGTTCTTTACCACATCACGTCTATTTGCCTAAGGCTGTATATACATTGTTAAATTAGGGTTCTATGATCTGAAATTATAAAGACTATCTGAAGAAAGAAAGGAGGCAAAAAAACTAAAATAGTCATGATGAAATACATAAAGTTACATTTTTTCCCAAGAATGATCACACTGCAGATGCTGGACTCCAGGTCTTTATAATTACAGCATTAGACAGGCATGGGCGGTCCTGGAAAGGGGGCTTTTTCAACACGTGGATTCTCGGACAGGTCAGAGCACTACTCACAGCTGGCTCTGTCGCCATTGTTGCGGAAATTGTCCTCTTTGAACTTTTCGGTGATCCCTGTCTTCTCCCACATTTTCCGGATCTCAGAGACACACAATTTGGGATTGAGGGCGAAGAGCAGTCTTCCGGATTGGATGGTAAGGTTGTGGAGGCTCCAGTCCCAGAGGTGCTGCAGGTTCTGGTTGTCCAGCACGTGGAAGGAGTACATGCTGGGACAGCAACACAGAGACAGTGAGCCTATCCTGTAGCACACCCTGCTCGAAAGCTCCAGAGCTATTAGGTGCAACTGTGAGGTAGGATCTGCAAATATTACTCTTCCTGTGTAAAGGAGTTTCTGCACACACCAATTGCAAATTTAATTTAACATCCTATTGCTTCTAACGTTTGCTCTGTATCAAATTGTATAGATATCTGTTCACTCCAGGGATTTTTTTGCTATTGTCCATAGAAAAACTAAAGCCTGGAAAGACTAAAGCCTAAGACTAAAAAGCCTGGAAAACCTCCAAGCAAATCACTACATTAAAGGAAGCGATGAGTGCAAAAAATTTAAAAAATGTAATAAAAAATCTGTACTATGATTTCTACTATGACAGACTTTTCACAAGTTTAGCCTAGGTACCACACCATTTCAGGCCATCTGGGAAGAAGCTGATTAGCTCATATTCCAAGATCAAGATACCAAACATACATCTAAGAAATGTCTGGGTTTGGGTTAGTTTCCTCCGAAGTGGAAGAAGTCTGCCGTAAATGAATGTTTTGTACGCCCAAGCTCACAACAGATGCAAAGGAACAAAAGGCATAACACATGGCAAAGTGCTTTAACACATACGCCCTTAACCTGCGATGGACTCTCACCAAATCAAAAGATCGAAGCGTTCGAAACAGTGAGGGCCGTCTGAATTACTAGTGTTCACCAGGGACTGGCCTCCAGGGCTGATGGCCTCTTCAGCTGTTAAGGGTTATCTTTCAATTGGCAACTCACCGAAACATAAAAAAGGGCGATTTCACTCCCTGTGTTAATTAATTAGGATCACTGATGAAATGAACCCCAGGAGCCTCAGGGCGCCCAGGCCTGGAGCCTGCCATCACCACCACGCGCCTGACCAGCACAGACTGGCCCCGGCAGAACGGCCCAGGCATTCCAGCACACGTCACTAGCCCCTGCGCCGTCTAACCTCCGCCCCGCCAGAGCTGCCCAGACTGACAGGAGTCCGTCCCACCACAAGCAAACGAACGGCAAAACAGCAAACCCAAGCAGGGTACTGTAGCTTTAACAGACTTTGTTCGACTGAACCCTCAGGAATGCGAGGAATGCCTGTAACTTTACCCTGGGAGAGAACAACCAATTAGAGGGGCACAGACTTTCCCATGAGCCTCCTGACCATACGAAGAGAATTCCCATCAAGGGAAGGGCGGGCAGATTGTCCGGCTGCATGTGTACGAGGGGGCTGATTCCTGCCCCCCACGAACACGGTGGACAACAGGAAAAAAAATCCCTGGACTGAACAGATATCTATACAATTTGATAGCTTCATGAATGCAAAAAAGTGTCTTGTGAAAGCAGTGTTACAGGCAGTATAGGGATGTTTAAACGGTATACACAAATATGCACATAAATTGCCTTCATTACAGACGTGTCACACTGCAGTTCACGAACAGCGAAACGTGAACCAGAGGACACGAGCGGCAACAACATGGCAGAACACAGGAGGCGCTTGCCTGTCTGAAGGGTTGTGGGAGCCTGAAACGAGCAGCCCAGCTACGCTGTTCAAGCCGATACCCTGGCTTCCTTCAAGAAACAGCTGGCTGAGATCCTTGAATCAATTAACGACTAACTACCAAACAGGCTAGCGGGGCTGAATGGCCTCCTCTCGTTCGTCAATGTTCTTATGCTCTAATTAGGTACAGCTGTACTCTGGTGCTCCCGCAATGTGCACAAGCAAATGCGAAACACCCTGTTTTCACGAAATGTGTTTCAAATCTTAGGTTTGAGAGGAAGCGGGTGGACAGAACTCAATGACACTGGATGTTTTCTGTTTTAATGGTATTATTCCCGCTGAAGGCGTGGCCGGTTGGGTGTTTTCAGATCTGAGACAGAAGACCTGCCTGCACAGGAGGAAACGGCCCTGCTGCTCTGAAGCCTCCGTCTCTCTGCGTCTAGGGGGAAGACTGTTACACACACCGCCCCACCCTCGACTGAAATACCGGCCATTCAACCTGATTCCTATGGAAACCTTCCCGGGCTCCCAAGACGTGCACGGGGAGAATTCGAAGGACTAGAAATTCCTGGGAACAAACCCTACTCCCAATCTATCCTCACCTGTGAACAACCTTCGCATAAAAACGATCAAGGAGGAGGGAAATTTGTCTTGATCCGCTCCCGTTTTGTTTTTTCTTACAGGGCCTCTGGTGTCCCCATAGGGGGTTATTCTTTCACTGGTTTTGCCGTAGTTGGCATTTGGGTTAAAAAACGTCATTTTTTCTTTTGCTCGGATTGAGAGAATCCTTCATTACCTTATGTAGTCCTGCACAGAGCTTTCCCTCTCGATTTAATTAACAAACGGTTGCCTGTCACCTCACTGACGTGAAATCCTTTCCCACACGTTAAGAAAAATGTCACCCCTACGCCCTGTCATTGCCGGTTCCACAGCTACTGGAGTTTCGTCTCCTGCAATTCTAGAACACCAGATGGATCCCTGCCTAAGAAATCATTTGTGCACACGGGGACAAATCGCAGGGTGTCTACAGGCTTTTTTTACAGCTGCGTGACGCGGACAGATCCTCGCCACCTGACACATGATACGAAAGGAGCTGCATGACGCACAAGGTCAAGTGAACAATGAGGAGCTGTGCTGCGCACCAGACTGACAAGCTGTGAGAGAAAGCTTAAAGGAGTCCCGAGCGATCACGTTTATCCTGATTAATTTTACAGATAAAGCCTCATAAAGCGAGCATATTTTAAAGAACAAATTGGAGAGGGTCGAAAATGTCAGCCGAATTCAGCTCCAGTAGCCTGTGTAACACGGCTGTCTGTTTCAAAGTGGCAGGGCTGTCCAGATCCTTCCAGACACACTCAAGCTTGAACCCGGACGTACTCTTCTATCAGCTCTTCCCCATTAATGTAACGCAGGCTCTTCAGGAAGGACAGGGACACCAGCGTGTGGGAGTGATGGATCTTCACATAACCGGTCACCGTCTGAATCAATCCCATGAAGCTCTCCAGCTCGGAAGCAATGTTATCTGGGGGAAAAAAACAAACAAACAATGTTACGACAGTAATAAGCTGGGAAACCTCAAACACACAAAGATCACAACCACAGGAAAAACCTCATTAACACCACTGGGCCAAAACAGAAAATGAAAGGAGGGATTCATGTAGGACGAGAAACTGACATGCCTTTTTAACAAGAGATGCAGGTCTTTTTGACAAACTACCCAGCAAAAATGTCAACACTGCTTTGTGCTCGGGTCATGTCCTTGAGTTAGTAGAGAACTACCAGCCAGCAGCAATGGAGTGACCTAGTTGGGAGGCTACCATGACTCTGACAAACCTGATCCTCTCTGTCCACTGGCTTTTATCGGTTTAATGCAAGAGAACGTCCAGTCCTCCAAAGGTTTATATGCAACCAAGAACAAACCACCAAAAAAAAACCACGCCTTCCTCCTTCAACTGACTCTGCTCCCTTGGACTGGAGCTGCAGGCTGGGCCGAACAGCCTCCTAGTACTTGGAAGCTCTCTCGAACCCGGAGCGGGGGTGACTGTGGCCTGATGCAGGGGGCTGGCTGGAAGTGAAGGCCCGTGCACTTACTGCCACGGCGGATGTTGATGTGCAGGTTGCCCTTGATGACCGTGCAGCCTTTGAGTGACTGGGCGGCGTCGATGGAGTTAATGACCTTCTCCTCGCAGATCTTGTCACAGAGCCCATCGCAGGCGCTGCAGAACATGCTGCAAGAGAGGGAGAGAGACCGCAGGGAGCCGTGAGAGACTGGGGCCGCGTAAACAGCACTGGGGGAGAGTCAAAACAGGGCCTTGACCGGATTCAGCTGGCTGCCCGCCCGCCCAGACGAAGTAAACACACTCCCCCAGCAGGCAAGGGCAAGGAAGACATTTCTTTCATTATTTCGACAAAACAATTAATCTCTTCCCCCTCAAAGAAAGACTGAAGTTGAGGACAAATTTGTAAGCTGTTGTTTCTTTTCCTACAAGCGTTCTTATAGGAAAGCACTGGCGACGTTTGTGAGCTACAAGGGCTATGCTCTCAAAAACAAAGTATCTTCTTTAAAACGAGATACTGGACCTTAAAGCCCCTTCTGAGGTGTGGATATATGCCCCCAGACTCCGGGAATCCAAAAAAGCCTGTTAGAAGGCACTAACACCCTTCTAAAGTCTCTCTTTCGTGACACACATGTAGCAGTGGAAACTTTTCGAAGAACGGCTGAAGAAGGAGAAGCACCAGGAGCAGCTGAGACTTGACAAATACCCTCACGTGCAGTCAGTGGAATCCCTCGCTCTCATCTGGAAGTGTGACTGAGAGGCTGCTAAAGAAACAAATTAACCCCGCAAGCTGGAGAGAGGCGAGAAGATGTGAAGAGCAGCACTATTTTTAGGATACAAAAATCTGACTTGAAATACTCATGTATGCGGTGAGCATGTGGAAGCTGTGTGATGGTGCATTTAAAGCTGAGAAAAAGAGGTTCTTCTTTACCCAAGGAGCTGTGGGAGTGTGGAACAAGCCACTCAGCCATGTTGTCGAAGCCGATACCCTGGCTTCTTTCAAGACAAGGCTGAGCGCGATCCTGGGATCATGACATTTATCTTGCATTGACATGGGGGAAGCGCTGAAACAGCTTGCACAGTAGACTTGGGAAACTGTGTGAAGTTTCTGCCCTCCCCCCCCACACAAGGCTGTTTGCTTTTCCCACCCCCCCGAAATTAATACAATTCTGCAGCACAGCTTAAAGAATCTACTCCCACCTGCCTCACTGCACAACTGGCCAGGAGTGCTGGTCATTCCAAGGCTTTTATTACAGAATCATCCGGTTCAGATTCTTCCAGAGGAAAAGGAAGTCCTTTCAAAGCCACCCTTTGCTGAGGTTACTGAAACAGATTCCTTCAGCTTTATGAACGGATGGCGGAGGAAATCAGGTTGAACACATGCATCTTGAAGAGGCCCTCATTAAAATACAAGATATACAATATACATATTTTTGAAAAAAATAACAGTAGGAGGAAAGCGAGCTTCAGAGACACAGACATTGTGCAGATCCTGGTCATTTGTTTAACAGACTGGCAGCCTTTTTGTAATTGCAGATGTTCGTAAACATTAACACTGCTGGCCTGCAATTTTAAATGCATCCCAGTACTTTACTAGAGCCGTGCTGTAGACTTCAAGAACCACTCTATTAAGAGTGTCTAACACCAGCCTGGCTTGAAACCGCTCCTTTCTCTTCTCAACACATCAGACGCTTTCTGGTTATATCCGTCTTGATCCATTTTAGGCTTTGTCTTCTTTTCACAGGGTTAACATCCAGGAAACAGTTTTATTCCCAAAACAAGAACTGGTTTGTAGTGAGAACATGCAGGGGATCATGAACCATCAATACCCATCTCCATGTACAGAAACTCGCTAACAGTCAATTCCAAGGGACAAGTTTGAAGTTTCAGAAAGTTGGCTGTTTCCTTAATGCAAACAAAAAACTAGATTTAAGTTTGTAATAAAACTTGAGAAAGATCTTCAGTAATAACACTTACAATTGTTGGGCGTTTTAGAAGATGAAACTGTTCAATCACACAGCACAGTGAAATACCTTGCCCCTGTAGCTGCTGGACTGTTCCAGTCTCAATTTACACAACAGGTTTCTGAAATTTCACTGCACTTGAAGTAATTCTATTCCTCTGCAGTGATGGTTTAGGATGACTGTTTCCCTGCTGAATATAAAACAAAAAAGGCCAGGAAAGAGTGACAGCAGTTTACAAGCAGGCCGAGGTGCCGACATCACGCAGGCAACTTCACCAGCTATAGAGCATGTTTGTGTGGCACCACAGGGACAGGGCTGCGCATATTCCGGTATCTTCAGACAGGAATAAGACCGCACTGTGCTACAATGCCAGTTACCGTGTGAACAGCCCCCGTTGACAGACAAACGCTCTTGACAAGATGACACTGATCACAAGAAAGGAAATGTCTGCGCTGCAGGAACTCCGAAATCCGGGCCTTTGCAAGCAGGTTTGGAAATAAACTGCACAAGCCCCTCAGCTTCTGCGCAGTGGTCGCTTGCTTCGACTGGAAGGGCAGACAAGCCGCAGGTCCTGCTCTGACCACGCCACAGACAGGCCGGCATGTCTCCCCCACACTGCCCCCACCTCTGCTGGCAAGGAAGGGCGCCAGTTTACCGAGATGATTAGAGTTCCCTCTTAGTTACTGTGACAACCCAGTGACACTTGCTATTTTTAGCCACGACAGTGCTGTGCTATTGTTACAGTCCTACAGTGACAATATTGTATCCCCAATTATCAGTGCGGGCTAACAATCTGTATAGGAGCATACCAGGGAGTTTTTCAAGTAGCCTGTCATTAAAGCCTAATTTCAACACAGCTCATTATACTGGCTGACCACAGGCATCAAGGAATTACTGCAGGGCTTTAAATACAGAATATTAACAGCGACGCTGGCACAGCCCGCACAGTAATTCAATGGGCAAGGCGCCCTACAGCTGCCCCCTGCTGGACCACCCGCGCCACAGCGGGCAGGGGGCTTGGGTGGGGTTGCCCCTGGCTTACCTCTGGCTCTCGTTGCGCATGAACCTGGAGGGGCAGTCCTGCACGCACTCCCCGCTGTGGATGACGAACCTGTCGAAGGCGTCGGGCATGGAGGTGGGCACCTTGGAGCAGAACTCCTTGGTGACGCAGCGCCAGCCCTCGAACTTGTAGGTGTCCGGCGGGCAGTCGGGCACGCAGCGGCCCTCGTGGAAGTAGTGCAGGCAGGCGGCGCAGGCCGTGTCGTTGTCGGGCAGGGTGCAGGTGCCCAGGCACTCCGGGTGGCAGCACTGCCCGGAGTCTGTGCACGCCCGCTTGTCACAGCTCGTGCACACTGTGGGAGACAGGACGGGAAAGGGGGCTTAGCAACGCAGCGGGGGAAAAAATGAAATCAGACAACATCCCTTTACGCCTGTCAGACCACTCTTCTTCACGGGAGGCAAGAATGTTGCATTGACCGAACCTCCAAGCAGAAGTCTGCTGTTATTATTAAAGCTACTTTTGCTTGAATGTTAGCCACAGCGCTAACGGTGGCACAGTGGTTAGCCAGCTGCTGCCTCGCAGTGCTGGAGCACTGGGTTCAATTCCTGGGGAGCTGGGGAACTCTGTGTGGAGTTTGCATGTTCCCCTCGCGTTGTAATGGGTTTCCTCCGGTGCTCCAGTTTCATCGCAGAGGCGAAAAACACGCTGGTGTGTTAACTGGCTTCTGGGAAGACTGGCACTGTTGTGAGTGTGTGTGTCTCCCCTGTGTGGGCCCTGCAACGGACAGACTCGGGGTCACCGTGACCCCACACTGGATAAGTGGATACTGAAAGCGATATGATGACGATTAGCGTCAATACGAAATCGGCAAGACTGAAAATGTAAATAAGTGAAACGACTCCCAGGCTGGTGCAACTGAGCTGACTAAAGACTACAAAAAGTTAAGCAAAGTGCAATGTACTGTGCAGGGTGCTTGCCAGTCTGCTCCATTTAGTGCTGCCACCTAGTCTCGGTTGCTTGGTAACCATTACGCTAGCCGTCTTCAGAAGATCACATGCCATATTAATGTGTTGGCAAATGCTGTAGTCAGCGTTCAAACAAATGACAGGAGTTTAGGATTCCTTGCATGTCTGATGGCGACAAGAAAAGAAAACATGTTACCTTCTTAACAAAATGTTCATTTTTAACACCCCCATGTCCTATTAACACTTAGCAAAATGCAGAGCAAGCAAACCTGGGAACCTGAATTTGTTTTGTCTTGAGATAAAATGACACAAAAGGTTTGAGTACGTACAAGAAAAGACAACATATTGATATCCTAACTCCTAAACCAAACCAGTTCCACTTCACAATTTACACAGTGCGAACCATCCAGACCATAAAACACGTCAAGGCCTCTGGAAGCCTAGAGCAGGCTGGAAGGCTGCAGAAACAGTCATTGGCTGTCAGAGAGGAAGGATGGAATGTTTGCACAAGGCCTGCGGTGCTATACTCTAGCCCTGTTAGTAAACTACTCTGCCGGCCCCACTGTAGCTAAATATTATTACTGTTTGGGACTATTAAGGGAATTAAAAAAAAAAACATCTCGCCAGCAGATGGATTGCAGTAACTCTGAAAGGAGGATGCCAACTGGCGATTCAGCGGCTGGATTTCCCAGCACTCTCCCTTCAGTGTGAAAGCCCTCCTCGTCCCAGGCGCACGTGGGAGGAGCTCTGGGTCTCTAACGCGGGACGGGAATGAAATGCTCAAGAGCCTGGTCTGTCCACCCGAATGACCACCGCTGGCTGTAGAGACTGTCCTGGGCTGAACACGCTCCCTGAGGGATTAACCAAGCTGCTTTCTGCCAATACTGACAGGATAGCGTTACAGCACCCTCACTCACAAACCAGAACTAGACATTCAGGAACTCCCACTAAAACGCACTGTTGAAAGACCATGACGAAACACAGCTCTTGGAGGCCAAAGGTGGCCACAGAGAATGAAAGAGGGGGAAAATGGAAACTTGCCATCATAAAACGTTTGGCACACTAAAAAGTGTGGGGTTAATACCCACCTGCCGAAGGCGGGCACAGCCAACACATGCTTTGAATTACATTATTTTATGTATATATCTCTCTCCCAGAATCCCTGCCCTGCCACACGTTTCAACCAGGGGCTGCTCCTGGTCAACCAGTGTGAGGAGAAAACTTCCAGGGCTCTTCCAAGGAAGTTGTTCCACTGCGGAGCAGTCAACGTCCACCGTGGACAGCTGAGGCCTCCGCAGGGCAGCAGTGTACTTCAGGCTGGAAAAGTGGTAACAAAACGTGCCCGTGCACTGGGAGCCTGTTCTTGGATGTTTGGGATGAGGGGTCTTCTGAACACAATTTCCGAAAAGCAAGAAAAATGCAAACGACCTGATCAGCAGGCAGGTCCACCAAAGCTGGACCTTAAGACTTTAGAGACCGCTGCCTGAAAAAAGGCAGAGGGGGAAAATATTCCGCGCTGTTCAATTCCAGAAGGAAACACCTTCCTGGAGCTTTCAGGCACCTCCGAGTGAGTGTTGCACTGAACGAACAGGCAGGTCTGCTGCAATCTGCTATCAGGCAGTTAGGAGGGTGGCGGAAATTCTAATGGAGAAGGTGAAAACCCGGCATAAAAAACACCTGGTAATGAAACCTCACATTTGAAGCACCCTGCAGAGACCCCTGCTTCATCGCAGGACGGAGGGGGCTATACCAGCTTGCTGTGGTTTGGGGATACCTGCTACTGGGACAAGAGCACGATTTGACATAGGAATCGTCTACGCCTCGACAGCACGCACGTCCACACTTGACCTGAAGGAGGCAGTGCTGAGCCAGATTTCAGCAGCTGAGACGTACTCTGAGCTACTGCAGTCAGAGCTGAAGGCAAGAAACATGGAGCGGTGTATTTTACACAGCTGCAGTACATGTAAAAGCAGCACACTGAGCCACATGAGGCGCAATCATTTTCTCTGTGCATTTTTGTCCTCATTGTGTCATCATGCATAGTCATAGCTTCTAGCCAATTGAACTGCTAGACTTTTTCCAGCCAGTGTTTGCTGGTGTCTCTGCAACGGTCCAGAAAAGGTTTCAATCTGTACAAAATACTGCGACTCTGATCTAAATTCAGTGGTGCACAGTTCCAGTTCCAAACGGCTGTGCTGACTTCTGCTCTAAGAGGCCTAACTGAGCTAATCATTCGCTTAATTGCACTTACTGTACAAAACACTGAGCAAAAGGTCTTCTTCAGCTATTGATGTAGAGACCTCCTAATCATGCTGCATTCTTGGCCTTAAGGACTGAAGCTGTACGCTTACCTGTATCTTAACTGCTACCAAACCACCTTATCACATAAGGACCAGGTTTGTCCCTGACACTAATTTCCTGTGAAGTGGGCTTTAAAATCTGGTTTCTGACTAACAAAGCTCTGCGTGGTTTAGTGCCACCCTAACTCAAGGATTTACTTCAGATTTAGACTTCCGTACACATTCTTTTAACTGCGCTTTACTTTGTGTAGCCAAGACTTCACACAGGGGGGGGGGTTGTAGGGAATTCCTGAATCTGTCAAGCTTCTTAATTCAGCATTTAAAAAATGTCCCTTGACTGTTAGTCAGCACTGTCTTCTGTTCCTAACCTATGTTAGTACCGGGGAGCTTGTAAATGAAACAGTCAGCTCTTGGAGGTGCGGTACTGAGTGGGCAGTGAGACGCAAGTCTGTGACCATCCTGACGGCCGTGCAGCACTCCAGGCCTGTCAGCAGCTCGCAGAGGAACTTGGGGGAGAGGGTGGGGGGTGGCGGTGGGGGCAGACAGGAAGGTGGCGGAGCGGCCCGCTCAGGTGTCTGCTGTCTCGTGCTGAGACGCGGTCATCGCGTAGATTAACAGCCCGGACCTGCCGGCCAGCTGGAGGGAGCTGCCAAGAGTCAGGGCACCAGCCATCTCCTAGCAACCCCGTGCTGGCACCCGTCCCAGCAGGCTCCGGGCAGGCCAAAGACGGCCTGTTTTATTATTCTCATTAATAACACACAGTGGCGTTGGGAATCATTACTACGCCTCATCATGTCAGGCCCCTAACGCAACACACTAAGACGCCCTGTAAGTCGTCTTAACCGGATATCATGACCCTACACGCCAAAGCTGACAAAATTAAATCTCCACGCTGTGACTGACGGAAACCCCTGCAAGGGGTGTTTCTGTGGAAAGGGGGTGCCAGAATACTGGGTGCTGCTCTGCTGAACGCCCCCGAAACCCTGCGCCCCTGCCACTGTATCGGTGCAGCATGCTGGTCCTGCTGCAGCTGAAGGGCACGACAGTAGTCGACACCACCCGGCGGACTGGGGAACCAGTAGCCCCTTCCCCTCCTCGTGATGCTCCTGCTCAGCTACAGTATTCCCACTCAGCCACATAACACCTTGCAGGAAGTTCAATCTGATCGGTGGACACTCTGATCGGTGGACACTCAGGTCCCATGCTAGACTCCATAACTTCCTGCAGTCTCCTGCCTCGCACTTGCTCCAGCAGGGCTACACCACACTCACGCCATTTACTTGCACATGCTTACTTGTTGCATTTTCAAACTGCGCCATCATAACTACTCTTAACGCCCGCGGGCTCTCGTCGAGCTGGTACAGCTGGGATCTCACTGTGCCGGTCTGTATTTAAATTGCACATTGTGGTGAAGCTGCAAGAGGTTATGTAGTGCGTGTGGTATCGCCACACTGGTCAGTGTTGCATTTATTAAACTGCACTGTTTGATTTTTGCATTCAACTACTAAGCATGGGAAGCACAAGCACTGCCATGGTTTCTTCAACAGTAACCGTTTACGAACTACATTCCACCTCGTATGAGCCCAATAAGATACTTAAAAACAAACAAACACGTTACAGGTCTGAAGGGGGACAAAATAGGAGAGAAAAAAAAAACAGGAAACAGTTAATTTACTGGAAAATTACCAAAAGGGGGCACCCCAGGCAAATGCAACTGCGTTCGGCTCTCAGGGATCGTTTTGACAAATTCCTCGATGGAGAGAGAGAGAGTGAAATCCCAAACATGCCCAAAAGGAAGAAACGGCCACTGCTCTACATTCCATATAAGTCAACCCCCATTTCCCTCCGTTACCAAAACAACTGCGGTATCAAGGATACGTTCTATTATTTATAGCCATCCCAAGTGCAGGCCTATTTCCACCCTCCCCGGCTGTGCCCACTGCAATGCCAGGCATGGTGGTCCCGCGACTTGCAGCGGGGAACTGCCTAACAAGGAAGACTCTCCTCTGAGGAACAAATCGGGAGTCTGTTTCATCAGCTGAGATGTCATTCCCAGAGCCAGAGACCTTTAGCCGGGGCTGATGAAGTCTCACGGAGTCTCCTTTCGGATTGGGGCGGGGAGGGGGCCAATCTACCGCCACGCACCAGCATCTCTTCCACAGCTGAGGAAACGGGGAGAATTTTGTGTTCAGCCATTTAAAGAAATTGTGGAGGGCGTGGGGGGGCACCTTTTTAAATACAGTGGACCTTTTTTTCCTGTTGTTGTTTTTTTCTTGGAGGGGGGGATTTTTTTGCGAGTCCTGGTTCAGAAGTCTCTTGCAAAGAGGTTCCCGGCAAGTAAGAGCTAAGCAAAAGTTCCTTCTCCCACGCGGGGGGGGGGGGGGAGTTTAGACATCCCTCCAACTGTTTGAAAAGGCATTTAATGGACACTGACTCGTCCTAAATCCCCGATCGGCAGCGCAACTTCAAACAATCAGAAGACACCAGTAACACCAGTGAATGGCAGCGTTCTCAATACAAACACACTGATGCAATAGTCTTGAGACTGAGGGAGTGCTCTTTCTGAAAAACAACTGGCTGTTCCGGCGTGCCCCGATCCCTTTCTCTCTACCCTCACCTGCCAAGAGACAGCAAAACGCAGAGCTGTGCAACCTGCCGTAAATCGGTTTTTCTAATGGGCAAGGATCGCTTCCTGCACTCGTCTCAGGCGGCAGCAGCCGGCTCAGGGAGGACAGGGAGCTCAGGGGTGCGGGCCACCTGCCAGGCTGCGCCCCTGGGCGGGGGAGAAGAGGAGCCCGTCACCTCGGACAAGCCCAGCGGCCCCCGCACGGGAGTGTCCACCACCCTCGAGAGGAGCGGAGCACCAGGCCGAGTCAGGGCGACAGGCTTCACAGGGCGTCCTCAAGCTGCAAAGCCAGACTACGATGCCTTGCCGGCCTACTTTTTCTCATTTCTCATCGCGATTCCAACCAGAAAACAGAGCAGCTTCCTGGTTAGTGGATAGCTGTTTGGAAAACAGGAATTCTTGCTCGGCTTGTGCAGCTCTGCTGTGCTTGTGCACCACACCCCCAGTGCGAAGGCATTCTGCAGGCCACATGAAGAGGAGCAGGGCTGACCTACTTGGCTCTTCCCTTCCTTTAAGGATCGGCTGCCTTTGTTCCGAGTCAGTGAACAATATGAAATATCTCCAGAATGTTTCTGCAGCAGCAAAGACAGAGAAAAGACTCTTAACTCCCTTTAATTCTGAAAGCCGGTTACAATCCCAGAGTTTTACAGACAGCGGAAATGGAGGAACAGCTCATTCTCGGGGGGGAAAAAAAACCTCATTACCCAACTTTATAAATTACTTATAGCCGAGCAACATAACATTTTTTTTCAAATATGCCAGTGTAAGTCAAAGACAGATTTTGCTCATTAAGGAATTTTAAGAGGCTTTTAATCAGAACAGGTTGAGTCTGTTACTTCAATAACAATCCTGACAGAGGAGATGCTTCTACTGGGTTTTCTGGACCTGTTTTCCAACACCCAGGTTATGGTAGGTTTTAACCGGAATCCTGTCAGGTCTACATTACTGGAGCCTGTTAATTACAAAGGCATTCTATCACAGACCTGTGGCCCAGCCAAAATGTTGCTGAACAGAATTCCAAGAGACATGCCAAAAATACCACGATCATTTCAGCTTCAAGTTCATTTCAGGCCAACCGAGCAAAATCATTAAAACGGCTTATTTAAAAGAGAGAGGATAAGACGAGGAAAGAAACAGTCTGAAGCACTCAGAAATTTGGCACGTGATTTCCTGCACTAACATTGACGCTGTAAACCAAATCAATACGATTAGTATTGAGAAATCTAGGTGATTGAGAAGACGGGAGGATAAACTCTGCATAGAGAGAAAGAAAAAATCAAAGCACTACCCTGCAGGTAAAGCTCTCAAGACGCCACTCTAAGAATCCCTCTCACCAGACTCAGAAATGCACACTGCCAACTGCAAGGGTGCAGAAGGCCGAGACGAGACAGAAGCTTGGCAGGGATCCTGCGTGTGTGCCTGGGCCTCCTCAGCAATGTGCAGCCTGCCTGTGACCATGTGATACAGAGCTGTTTGTGATCTTGGACTGCAACCATGTGACAGCGCCCGCCCCCCCCCCACCTCCACTCCTGTCTGTCGCAAACGGCTCCGACCTGAGGGGGAGACGGAGGAATCTCGAGAGCACGTCTGCTCGGCTGTTTCTCCTGGGCCAGGCGCAGCGCCGGGAGGCTCAGAAAGGACCAGCCACACACCTGGGCTTCTGCTGGCTGCTAGTCCCGCTGCACAACCCCATGGCGCAGACCCAGATAGGAGATGCAACTGCATTTTCCACTGCTGCACACTTCATTTGACTGTGTGGATGCCACAGTGTGCACAGGAGCTGCAGTGTCTGAAACTGACCACAGGAGACTTTCTAACAGCAGTCTCCCTCCATGTGCACCCCAGTGCATCACTCCACACGCCCTGCGCCCAGTCATCAGACAACGCAGAATAAGCAGACACCCAGAGAAGCGCGAACACTTCGCCGCCTGTACAAGGTCCTGCTCTTACAGAGGAGCGCAAAACAGACAACGTGCTGAGGTGAACGCTGGCGTCTTAAAAAAAAAAGACAACTGAAGATGTTTTCCTTTAACCAACACTATACAGAACTCTATTTCCTTCACTGACATATCAGAACAGTGTGAATGCAAGCGTCAAGACATGTTGGCCAATTCCTGTATTACGTTCCGCTTCCTAAGGCATAAATAGGGATAGACTAGACTTTTCACATAAACACTGTATTAAAACAAGGACTTGACCAGAAAATACAATATGTGGAAAGAAAAAGGATCCGAACGTCACAGAGCAGTTCCACAGTAAAAACTCTCTTTCCCTTATTGTGAAACAGGTGTTAAACACCAGGGCAGCTTCGGAAACACCCCAATCAGCAGTGAAAGAAGAAAGCGAAACACAGGCAGCCATTTTGTGTGGCTCACTGCCTCACTCTACCAGTAAATCTGTGCCCCAGGGGGTGAACTTTTACTGTCTCTACAAAGACCTTACATTTTTCACGCGACTCATATCTCCTGAATCAAAGAACAATGTTTTAAAAACCCTGCACGCGCCAGAAGACAGCACCAGACGACATCTTTAATCTGAGGCTGTTTTGATTTTCTAACTTTAAAGCAGGATTACAAAAAAAGAAGGCAAAAAAAAATCACACATCTGTAATATAAATAAAACATGTTCTGTACAGATCTAACCACCAATGTAAATATTTTCAATACAACGTGAGAAACTTATTTTTTACCTTTCCCTCACAATTTACCACAATATAGTATGTGAAGAAATAACATCCACATTCATCGTGTTGAATTATAACAATTTTTGAAACTTCATTCTTTCCTGAATTCTGAGCAAGTTCATTACACAGAACTGCTTAGTTTTAAATGCTGAACTTCCCTGTGAAAACTGAAAAACCTCTTTTATACAATAAATGTAGATGCTCACACAGGCTGTTTTCAACGATTCACAATTTTGTTTATAGGTCAGACAAGTATATCAGCAAATGAATTTAAATTGAACATCTATTGCTGAAGCAATATAGGGTTTCCAGACAAAACTAAGAGAATACCTCTGGTGTTAGTCCCTGGTTCACGCAAAGTTTTTAACAGAACAACCTCTGTTCTACCGGTGCTCAGAGGCTTAAGTGCATGTTCAGGCTTCCAGTACAGGAATAAAATTGATCATGCTCTGCATAACCACCAATCAAATGTATATATGCAAAAGTTGTAAAGAAAAACAAAAATATGATCTAACTATACACTGCATATACCCATTATTACAAAGATGTGGGTGTTTATGCATTAATCATTGAGTAGAACAAAAAGCACTAATTAAATATAACAAACTAGACAATTCTCAGAAAGACTTTTCCTAGAAAGTCCAAAAATACAATCTTCCCTTTTGGTTTCAAGTCTGTGCAGAATAATCTTTATATTCATATATTGATAATCTGCCATTTTCTCAACACAAAAAAAACACAAGTTTGCCCTAACTGCAACCCGGTTATATGGGGGTAACTTATTTATTGCTCTCATTCTGGTAGTTATAAAACCATTAAATGATGAAAAATAAAAAGGCATTTTTCAATAAATGCTTCCTCACAGCTAAATGAAACAATGAGGTGTGTAGCCCCAGACTACAGTGAAGTGAGCAAAGCATCACACCAATAAACACCAAGGAGACAAACAGAAAATGGGCTAGTTCAACAAAAATAAGCAATTTACCAGTATTTTAATACAAATATGGTCAAGATTTAACTATAATAACTCCAGGCACCTGAACAAAACTATTATAATTGAACACTGCAGTTTCGTAATTACTTTGAACATGTCGATTTAGCGGGGCTTTGTCTTCTGAATGAGAAATATTATCCTAATTATTTTCATACAACCCATACACGTTTTGTTTTCAAAAACATTGATAAGACCGAATTATTCCATCAAGGAGACTGGCTCCATAAGAGAGTCTTGCGTTGTGCTTTGTTTTTGTTTTTTGGCGCCGATTTATTTATTCAGAGGTTAAAAACAATGGCATTTTTTATACATCCCAGACTCGCAGTTGACGCGAAAAACCGTGGTAATAAAACACAGTAAACCCTCTTTAAAAGACCATGAAGTCATTAACAAAACGCGGTCTTTGGTGTGTAGAGTGAGGTAGAAACCACCTCCGACGGAGCTGTGCTCTCCGGTGCTTGTAGGATGCGGTCTGTGTCCTCTTTAGGAATATGCATATTTAAAAACTGCTATTTGACTTCCCTGCGCACGTCATATTTGCATAATTGCATATAGTGTCCGCATTTCGCTTTCGTGGGGGTCTACCCTTTGAAATCACTCGCTTTCCCCGCTGGCTGGCCAGGCTGTTCGGGCAGGGGGGGGTGGTGTCTCTGCAGGAGCGGTTATAAAGATGCGTTGCTGTTTTTCGGCCCTTTTTTGGTGGGGGGGAGGACAGGAGGGAAGGTTACGTAAAACAGCCGCATTTCGGATCCCGTCCGAGAGGAGAGGGAGCTCCGTGCCGGGGATTGCAGGCGGCCGCGTCAGGAATAATTCATACCGGGGGCCTCTGGCATCACTGAGAGCGCATTGTAGCTGGGCAGGGGGGGGGGCGAGCCGATTCAGGTCAGAGCACCAGGTAAGAAAACACCAGCCCCGGCTCAGAGCCCGGGTGCCCTAGTTTATCCGCAAGCAAAGCAGCTACAATCACGCAAATGCACTTGGCAAAAAAGCAAACACAAAATTCACCGCAACGACAGGGCATTGATGAGCTTAGATACCCCCAGCCCCCGGCGATTTCCAACACGGGGCGAGAGGGGGAAAAAAAAAAAAACAGGTGTAAATTTCGGGAGCCCACGCTTATGAATGGCGCGTTTCTGCGTCCACCCGCCCACGTCCATTGATCCACTCGGCGTGTTTACACTCCAGGCGGGGGGGGTGGAGAGGAGAGATTGATTCTGCCCCGGAGCTGCTTCAACGTTATCACTGCCTTACATCCGACTGCCACTCATTCAAAACGTTGGGTTTTTTTAACTATCCAGCGAAACAAAAATGAGCCGTGGCTGTGTGAAATTCAAACGCGACAAAGGTTTTTTTTTTGTTGAAATGTTATAGTTAACTGCAGATTAAATTGTATATGACTTCTGCAATGGGAAAGGCACCGGCTCGTGATGCTATTTTCACAGACGGGATATCCGAAAGAGGTAAATAACCAAACCCTCTGTACAATCCGCGCTTTGCAGTGTTTATGATGATGATGATGATAATTATTATTTATCATTAGTATCGTCGCTTGTGTGATCAACATGACCACTCCGGTGGCGCATTTCATAAAGGCTGTTTTTTTTTTTTAACGCAAGGCTCTGCTGTAGTAGTACAAGCCCTGACGGTAGGTCACTCCACAGTCAGCCGAGAATGGGATTTAAAAAAAAAATGTTTTAAAAAAAAGTTTTAAAAAAACTGGGTGGAATATAGCTGGGCCAATGGCGGCAGGGAGGAGGCGATTCTCGGTGATTGGCATGTTATTGAGTCTGGAGCTGAAATGTGGTAAACAAGTCCTCCGCTGTAGGAGAGGGGGGGCTGTAACCATGGTAATTTAATACTCCTCTCCGGATTCTACACGGTACCAAACTGCTCGACAAGATGTCGAAATGCCCGGGGACCTGCGGGGTGTCGGAGGGGCACCTCGGGGTGTCCCCACGGACACACCCGGCAAGGCCCTGTGGACGAGCGCCGCGTCCGGATTGAAAACGTGTCCGGGCTGCCCCCAGGTGAAACAGCCTCACGGTGTTGAAGATCAGGGCGGTCGGGCTTGTCTGAAGTCTCTGGACAAGAGCCCCGGGGGAAAAAAAAAACCGTTACAATTCAGCCCCGACTTATTTACGCCTTGTTACTGTAACTGATCTGGCCCGGTTACACTTCGTCAAGCCAGAGGTCCCCCTGCCCGTGTCCGTTCAGGATTAAAATGTCGGCACCACGCCGGGCAGAAAGGGGCCGACGGAGAGAGAAGCACACGGCGAAACAACCGAAATGGCTGGAAAGAAGCGGCTCTCTTCTGCCGGCAGTGTTTTAATAGTGGTGCTGCAGTAGCTTCAGTACAACACTAAAGCAACGCAAACTATACACGCTCTCGTCGTCTCCAGGTGTTTTAACGGGTTTTCACATTTTTTAATTACCAGAAAATTTTCTTTGGTAAAACCACGTATTATCTACCCCCCCCCCCGACTCCCAACCGTAACAAAAAACACGACAGCTCACACCTCTCAACTTGTTTTCCGTGCGATTAATTTCGAAAGTCGATATATTTTCTCCAGTGTGAAGTATTCGTTGACCTAAAGACGAACTGCACACTTCAGATCCATAATCTCTGAAATCTTTATACTCTAAAGGTTTTGCATTATAACGATTAACGAAAAAACAACGCTAAGTGGCCTTTATGCCACCTATTCATAAAACCACTGTGTAAAAGGTAGCCTGGGCCCATTTTCCATTTGCAAACATGAATAAATGCACGAACCTGACTTATGAATAATGACTGACAGAGTAATTGTAAAATGTAGGAAATCAAAACTGAAGGAAGTTAATCTATTTGGACACCGTCAAATATAATCCTGTATATATCTCCCTGCAGTTACCATCTGTTTAAATTCACATAAAGTCAATTAGTGGTAAATAGATTAAATTTAATTTTGCAGTGGCGGTGGACAAGATAAAGACGCAACTGTTTGGCATCTTCGCCTGACAGCGAAGTCAAATACAACCCAAGCTTATCAACATTTCCGGTCGATTCTGCCAGGATTTACATACCCAATCTAAACGTAAATTTGCACTTGTGCAATGCTCACTTCAAACACTACTCAGGGGTTTTTAGATGTAAAAAAATGAGGTCCCCCCTAATTTGATGAAGAAGAGCTCTGGGTCTCTTCAAGGGAAGAGCTGTACATACACCTGTAACAGGTGCTGCCATATTACACAGGCATTCTGACACTTCTGGTAAAATCCCCCCCTCACCAAAAAAGGCTGCAAATTTTGAAAGCTACAGAATGTCTTAATAGGATCATATTGCAAATTAAAATACCAGGCAAGGTCAGGAATGGGGATTGCGTTGGTACACAGTAGTGCGCAAGGAAAAAATGTGCTCAACAGAAGCATTCCTGTAACAGTGGGTCATACTCTCTGAGCTTCTTGGAGAAATCGCAAGTGGTCACTACCCAAGTCATTGTTCACTTCATTCCTTTGTCATGTTTATTACTAAGCACTCAATACTGACTGTAAGGCTATCTCAGCGCCCTGACAATTAAGGCCTGCACATTATTCCAAACTGTATTTCAAAAGATAAAGAAATTGTCTAACAGGAGTCAGAGAAGGGCCTCATCCTGAGGTCTGCATGTCATGTTCTCTCAACAGAAAACCAAAAGCTACCGGAGTCTTGTGCCTTGTGGCCCGCAGCTCAGTCACAGAAACAGACCAAAAAGAGAAATGCAAACAGCAAGCATGACTGCAATTTGTGTAATCCACACGCACATCAGACCACTCCAAAGAAAATGCCAGCAGTGACCCCCACTGTAGTTAAGCCCGCCCCTGCTGAAAGACTTTTCTCTTCCTCTCATTTCATTGTCATGACATCATCATCCCACTTCTCTCGTTGCCTGGATACCCAGCGGGAAAGAAACAATCTAGACGGATAAACGCATGCAGCAGACGGACACGTGAGACTTGGTTCATCTCATCGGCTGCACTTCTCGAATGGCACACTGAGCGAGGTTGCGTGGGGACCAGGTAATTCAGGCACCATGCCGTTTTGAGTTGTTTACCTCCAGGACTGCCAGGGTAATGGGGAAAAGCAGTCCAAGCAGCGCCGCTGAGCCACAACACGACCACATCCACGACTACAGTCGACTCACTCCGAGGGCCCGTTCAAGGCCTCACCCTAAGATTCCCCAAAATTACGATTTTGTTCCTGCTCAGAACATTGAGAGTTTACTTTAAACTTTAATTTCAATAAGTCTAAAAATCCCGGTTGCAACCTACTGCATGAAGTGGTAAAGTATTTAATAAACCAGATCAGAGCTAAAGTAACTGAGGGATAAAATCCACTTTCCTAAAGGTACAAAAGTTACGACACACTGCGTAGCAGTTAGATCCAGTCCTTTTTTTTTAAGCTTCAGTCACATGTAGAAGCCAACTCCAGAAGACGATTTCAAGCTTGGTTTATTTCATTTTGATTACATCTTGCACTATCTGGTGTCTGCATTTCAACAGAATAAGATGAGATTTCTATTGGCTTAAATCAACCCATAAAAACCACCTGGAGCTTGTGAATCCTGCCCTGGATCAAACCGCAGCGCGGAGTGAGCAGGTCTTTCCAATCGGCATTGAATACAGAGCCTTTCAGTGCGCGTGTGTCTTTCCAGAGCACTTTAAGGTCAGAGGAGGTGCTTCTGAAAACATGCGGAGAGTGGCAGCCGGGGCATACTGGGCACGGCGTCTGAGCAGAAAGTCTCCAACGTGGGAGCGACTCATCCGCCCGGCACAGACACAGCCTCCCTGGAGCAGCTGACTGGCTGGCCTTTTTCTATCCCTTTATTTAGCCCGGATGATTAGCATGCTAAAAAATCCTCGACGTCCAGGGAAAAAAAAGAGGGGGGGGGTGAATGAGCCGAAAAACAAGAGTGTTTCTGGTGGCATCATGCGGCCACGGCAGTGCTCCGGCGAGCGCGCTCGAACACACACACCGAGCCAGGGCACAGGCAAGCGCGCGCCTCCAGATCGGGCACCTGGGAGCACGGGTTTCTGCTGGCCGTGCTGCAGGCAGCTGTGCCAGGCCGAGCCAGGCTTTTCCGTGGTGCTTGAAGCAGGGCGCGGGGCTGCCCGGGACCCGGATCCTGCAGGTTGAACGGGTCACCCCCCCCTGACGCCCACGATGCCCGTGTCCAGTCAGCCCAGTGAAGACAGAGGCTACCAGAACCGCAGGGAGATAAGGAAGTTGTGAAAACTGTCCCACGGGTGGGTACGGGGGGTGAAAGTGGATACACTGTATAAACCGGACCTCTGCGTCGGCTTGTCCGGTGTGGGAGAACAAGGTGCCCAACTGGTCCCACTTGTGTTCCCCGGCTCACAGGTGCCAACTCTTCCCTGTCCGTCAATGCTCGAGCTAACATTTAAAACACCTCGCAATTAAGATACTACAGAAAACGGCAGTGTCATCCGATGCCACGTGTAACAGCGCCCTATTTGAACGGATACTCGCAGGCTGCATTCCTGTGCAGAACTCAAAGGAGAGGCCCCCGAAGCAGGCTCTGCTCCGCTCCAGCCCGCACGGCTCTGTTTACCTTTGTTGTCTGTGAAATGATAAAAACTCATTAAGCCTGCTCTCTGCAGCTATGCGCCGCCACCACCTGCCATGACTCACAAATGGAGATTTGATTCATATTTAATGCAGTGCGAACAGGGCGCTCTCAGCGCACAGAGCAGGAACACATTTGGAGGGCCCGGTGAGGAAATCAGGGCCCCCGAGCCACTTGTAGCTGTTGGGGTCACGCTTATTTTGGGCACACGCACCCCATGGCACTTCGGAGCCGGCCAGGGGCGCAGGACCACCCTGCCGCTGCTGCAGAACAATGAGCGATGGCTTTTGATGGGGAGAACTTGACGTTCCTGGTTTGTTTTTTAATTGATTTAAAGGCCCACCCCACCCCCCCTCCAGCCGAGCCGCAGGTGCGGGATATCAGATGTGTGAAACAGCAGGGAAGTCTCTGCCGGCCCCTCCTGAAGCACACGCCCCTGCCCCAACTCGGCCTCCGCGGCCGGTGACATCGCGCCCCAGCGTCCTGTACTCCCGTGTGAGGGAGGTGAACAAGCCCCCCCCAGGAGAGCGCGAGCCAAAGGCTCCCCTTCTGCAATTTCTGCATTAAGGCATTAATGTATTAATTCACAGAGCATTAAATTACAATGTTAACAAGAGAACTGGCACCTACATGCTCCATAAAGAAATATTTTCCCAGTATAATTTTTCAGTGAAAGAAATCCGTATGGTTCTGAGTTTACAAATACCCGATTTGGGACACCCTTGCCATATTCCGCCCCGGAGCTCTGGGTAAACAGAAGTATCATATAAAAGTGCAATAATGTAACATTATCATTTGATAACACTGCCTCCAATATTAACAATGCCTGCCATTGTTTTAACTGTAACCATGCAGAAATACAGTACTCCTAAGTGGTTTTTTTTTTTATTTTTCAGGTTTCAGGTTCTCCAAAAAGGCATCTCATTACAGGACCGAAACTGGATGTCTTCTAACCTGCGTTGCCCAGGCTGCGAGCTTCTTGGGAGCGAAGGACTGGGCCTGTCTATTCTGTGACCCCCAGTCCAGCCAGGGGCGCCCACTTCACTGAGGTATGTGCTGCTCTCGGTGTCCAGGCATGAAAGGCATTTCCTGTCGCCTGCGTTGAGCCACAACAACGCCACCGCCCCCCGTCTCCCAGCTTCACCTGTCTCATCACATTCTTGGTGCTGCTGCTCATGCGCTTCTAAGATGTACACATTTAAAAAGATTATTTTTTAATGTAAATGTTTTTTTTTTAAATCAACAGGCTTTTGTTCCGGGTTGCTAGGCAGGCTGGCATCTTAGTGTTCCACTACTGATGAAAGTGTTGTGGCTGGGTAGGAAACATCGGTGCCTACACAGCCCTGCTTAATCTGAAGCTCGCGAGACACGTGGGAACATAAATAAAGCTGGAACCTTCTGGAGTGTAAAGACACCCAGGGCAAAACGCTGCTCCCAACCCATCAAAGTCATACACAGTTCAAATATGTCAGCCTAAATTTAATGACAACACAGGTGTGAAGTTCACAGAATACACATTTTAACACCGTTTTGTTGTTACTGCAAATGAATTTTACTTGGTAGACAGAAGTGGAATATTTTCCTTCCACTACAAGAAAGTTTGATGTGTGCTGGCAGGATAGTGAGAGGCCCAGCTGTAGACAAAATACATCTCCAGTGCTACAGGACACATCTCCACTGGGCTCTACACAGGCGCACTGGAGTATCACTGGCAGGATCACTGCGCCCTCTGACCACTGATGAGAGACGCCTCTAAACACTGAAGGATTGGGAAATTTCACACGCAGATTTGGAGACCACTGCTGTCGAGCAAAGCCACCGGAAAACCGAACACGAGGACAGAATGCGTCCCTCCAAAAACACTGCCGACTGCCCCTCAACGCAAATGGGTCCAAATCGTCAAAGCACAACCAAGGACTTATCGGATATTTTTTATAATAAAATCTTCTAGCAAGCAAGTCAGTAATTTACTGGGGGTGTTTCCACATGATTCCACCCTACACATCTGTCCTCCCTGCAGTTCACTCTTAACTCGTGGAGGGCTCAGCAGTGGATCACGCCGTGTGCTGGAAGCTCTTTGGACCATGCAAGAGGAGCAGAGCCTGAGCCCCTCTCCCCCCCTGCCCATCCCCAGACAGTGGCAGTGTGTAAAGACAGCCTCAAAGATTTTATTTTTAGTCAACAGCATAGCCTCAGCCTTCTTCCCTATTAATTCAGGAAACTCTCCAAGTTCATCTGAGGACTGCTTATTGCTGCTGATTTTGGCTGTCATGAACCAGCGTGTTTGTGAAAAATAGGTTGCGCTTGCTGGCACGAAACAATCTCTTCCCTTTTCTTTTAACATTAAATAGGACTTGGGAGGTAGATCTCCCCTCCCTCTCATGTCACACATCCTTGGTGAGAATTCTCCCACTCAGGAGGTGCCATCGACCCAGTATTCCTTTTGACCCCAGTGTCTACAGCAGAGAAGAGAACATTTTCACAGGCAACAATCCTTCACAGTGCTAACACACAGGATTCATTTTTGGAGCGCAATCAGTGCTTTATTTAACCTCCGACATTTAACTTTTTCATTCTGGCAGAATATTTGCTTTCTCCCATTTCTGAGCTTTATGTATGGGCACACTGACCCTAGTATATATATATACACACAAGCATTTGCTTTATTGCCAGCACTGATTTCATTGGTTTTGCCCTGTATGAAATTGTAAAGCGTACGAACAGGTTAAAAAAATAAATCAAGGAAATACATTAATTTTGTCCCAATCAAATGCAGTAAGGCCATATCTGTTCTCCATAATAAACAAAGGAGTCCGCAACGCTTGCAACAGGAATAGATTTCAAGACTGGCTTCTTAACGCTGGCTTAGAAGACATTTGCATCCATCTTCAGTAACTGCTTGATCAGTCAGATAACGGGAGGGCTGTAAGGAGCTAGTGTCCAGCCCGGCAGGCACAGGGCATGTAGAGGAATTATACCCTGGAAGGGACACCAGACCATCATAGAGCAGACTCTCACACATGAATATGGCAGGCAATTAAGAGATGCCAGTTAACGAGCAGCATGCCTTTGGACAACAGAATCACAAGTTCCACTCCGAAATAAGGATGCTGACTTCCACAAATGCAACTCGTTTACTACAAGCAGCTACTAAAAATATACACCATAACTCGATGATACCGTTTATTAAATGCCATGAATTTCTTGGCGGGTCAAACCGAGCTGAGCAGAAAAAAAAGCCTTTGTCCAGGTGCCACAGTCTCCTTGACGACGTGCCAGGAATGCACAGACGCCCTACCATACAGGGAGCGCAGATCAGCATCTCCTGGACCGCGCTGGCTGGCCACTGTCTGACACTGTGACGTTTCCCCGCGAGCTACTTCTGGAAACAACCAACAGCGAGCAAAACAAGATCCCCTCGCCTGGCAACGCTACCAATGGGTAAATCAGACCTCCAGAGAGCTCTGCCACATTAAAATAAGCACTTCAGCAATCACTCCACGTCGGAGTATACAGTACCCTCCACCACAAACACAGGTAACCCTGGAAGAGTGTTTTTAACCAATGAATATTGTTGTTCTGCCTCCGTAAATTACAGGAGAGCACTGGAACAACCCCATCCTGCCCTGGTCTCAGAAAAGGGCTGATTTTATCCTGCAAGAATCTCAAAAGGTTTCCTAACTTCTGATCTAGAGAGCACCTGTAGGCACTGGGCAGTGGAGAAAACTGCATTTCCATACAGCTGCTGCAAGTCTGGGGCCGGGGGTGCTGTGCATTGCGCAATCCTCTCAAACCCCAGCTCTGCCTAGCACTATTTTTACTGTTTATTCTTCACTTATAAAACAAATCGCAAAACTATGGGAGGCTGCCAGAACTCAAGGGTTCTGCCACGTTCAGACTCCCAGCTGTGGATTTCTAGTAGGCTGTAGAAAGCAGTGGTACAGCAAGATACCGGCACATTTATTAATTTTAAAAGAATATTTCTACGTTTAAAACTACATAAATGTCAATAATGATCCATAAGTAACTGCAGGCATGTTTTTACCAGCATTCTTATAAAAATCTACACTTATTACTACTTCTTCCCCAGCAATTTAAGACTAAGTGGATTAAGATGAACAGATTTCAATTTAGCCTCCCAACATTCAACATTCCCAACAAATAAGGCTTGCTGGTGGACCCGTCCGTGGTGGACAGTAACTTCCCAACAAGTGCCCCAGCATGGTGATGGGGCGCGCTGTGCTGTAGGAGGTGCTGTCCTTTCAATGAGACATTAAAACCGAAATCTTGTGGCACCGATTACAAGGATTTTGCTCTCAGGTTTCACACCACAACTCAAGGACACTTTCGAACACAGCAAACGGCAAAAGGCCAATGTGGTCAAAATGCGTTGCCAGCGACTCACTCTTAACACTACTACTTGCTCCGGGAGTGGTTTCACTTGCCAGGCCCGTCATCTCGGAAAACAGCTGTTGATTCCATTCAGTTTGTTTTCATATAGCGCCTTTCACAACAAGGTTGCCCCAAGGCGCTTAACAATGCAATTGACGATACATTTTGTCAATACAGAACAGAAGACCCGAAGACAACAGAGGAGAGGGACCAAAAACTCCTTAGTGAAGAGAAAAAAAAAACCTCTGAGGGGTCCAAGGTCAACTACTTGCCCAACCCCTTTGGGTATTCTAACATTATATAATTATGTTTATAGCTGCGAGATTTCCCCCAGCAGAATACATGCGCAGCTCATTAATGTTTTAACTGTAATAATATCAGCTGAAGGAATTCTTGTTTTGCTATTGCACTCCACTGCAAGGCGGCGGCTTACAAGGGGTGGGAGATGTTTCCGGCGAGAGACTGTCCCTGGTCTGTCTTGCCTGGCCAGGTGGCACACTTACTGTGCCGGGAGACCCTCATTCTGTTTGCCGTTTCTCTGGCGCGTCTTGCTTGAACTCTGGGTAGCAAGCGTAGGCCTGACACCTCTTCAGATGACATCCCGTCCTTCCCAAATGCACTGGTAGCTCCTCGCATTTGGCATCTGGCAAAGTTTTTTTTTTGTTTTCCAAGGCAACCCCTCCCCCCCCATTTTTGGAAGCATCGGTGTGCAGGGGATAGGGGATGTGTGGCGGCTCCCAGTTTTATTCATTTAAAACTGGATCTCCATTCCCAAGAAGACGTGCAGAAGCCACCCGCCCGAGCACTGCACACAGATGTTACGAGAAACATCTGTTCGATCCATCATGCACACGAAAACCAGCACCTGAGGAGCCAGCCTGCACATGTTATGAGTCCTGTAACACTGAAGGTTAAGTCTTTTTCCGAGGAAAATGTGCTGAAACTGACTGTTCATCCGCTGACTGTTTCAGCAAGCAGGACGCAATTACACAGGCGATTTTCACTACAAAGTACCGTGCACTTCCCTTCATCAGAAAGAATCTGTTTAGGACACACAGCGTCACATAGCTTAGTGAGGCCACTCCTGAACTTAAATATAATCAGCAGATCTGCTACATGCATTAAGTCACCTCAATGTTTAATATTTGGAGAGCTGATGATTTTGAATACAATGTCTGATAAGTTATGAAGGACTAACTGCTTGGCAGTAACTCACTGACAACTTGGATTGCTCAGTCTGTAAGGGAACTGCTGAGATACCAAGTAAGGATGTTCAGGAAAAAAAAAAAAGATCTTAATGTTTTGTAGAGGAAAAATGTCATGTAGTGCCTTTTTTGCCTTACTGCTTCATTGTGATTTTCAACAGAAAAACAAACATGTGGAGAGAGAGAGAGGGAGTCACTTTTATAAACACACTTATTAGCTCCCATTGTTAGGGAGCACAATTCAAAACCCAGCGAGCGTTGGGGTCAGGATTAAGAGATCTGATTACACCAAGCAATTATTATTCTGCCGTAAACAATGAACTCATAAAGGCATGGCCTTATTAAGTATTGGGTAACAACAACAAACTGGGCGTTGGTGTTATGCCCCAGCACTGTCGGAACAGCACAAAGCACAAGTCTGAAATAACTGCTGTATAAATGCCTGTCCCCACCCAGTTTTCCACCTTTGGTGGTATGTATGGCTAGTTTATGTAAAACCAGGAGATAAGAGGCTGCAACTCTTTCCTTTGAATAGTTGTGTATAGTTTTATTACCTTTCTAGCTAGCTACTGAGTACATAAAACAAGATTCTGTACGGCTGTGCTTAAAAAAACCAAAGGAATCCTTCCCGTCCCAGATCCTGAAGGAAGTCACTGATAAAACGACAGAATGCAGGAAGGCAGGAAAAAAAAACAACAAGAAAACACAGACGCACAACACCTCCCACCGGAAGAACTGCACCCCATTCCAGTTGTGCGATCATGCCATCACCCACTCCGTGCTGCTCCCAAGGTTCTGGAGTGGGAGAACTGGGGCGATCAGCTCGCCCACCTCCCCACACCGCCTCCCACCCAGCCCCTCCACAGAGCAGGCAGCCGATATGGACGGAGAGGGACAGCTGACGGCCCGGCCCGGCCCTGCCCTAGCAGGAGAAACAGCCCTCCGCTGCTCATTGGCTGCTGGTGACATCATTCTTTAGTTCAACTTTTTTTTTCCCTGTTGGGTGGGGTGGGGGAGTGGGGTGCTTTTGCTTTTTCTCTCCCTATCTTTCCTCTCACTCCCCCCTTTCAGGGACCTCTGAAGCTCACATAGCCACCCTAACGAGAGAGAGAGAAAGAGGAGGGACTGAGGCCGACTCCGAGAGGCACAGCAAAAAGTTTTCTTTCCAAAAAAAAAAAGTCACTTTCCCAGCTTTCCCTTCTGTCCTTTCTTCACCCTCCTTATTTTAGGCAAGACAGACTATTCAAACTCCATTTCAACTAAAAGGCCGGGCTGGTCAAAAACATCCTACATTGCGCCTAAGATTTTCCAAGTTGCTGCCTGGGATGTTCCCAGTGCAAAACTGGTAAAAATCCTCCCTTTGAGAGATGAACTGCAACAGCCCTGTCTGTAACTTTCATTTTCTGCGTTTCATTTCAAGTACTTCCACAGGCAAGTGTCGATCTAACGTCAGCCAAACAGGAACAAGGCCACAACACTGCTCCTGGGCTCCGGCTACCCCACACGTGTGAGGAGAGCTTGCTCTTCCCAGCACTGTGCGGCACCCCCTTCACTGCAAGCGCTGTCCTAATGAGGCGCGTTCCAAAGCGAAATGAACCCAGCTTAAAATATTTTAAACAGTGCTTTGCTCTGTTATTGTTAAAAAGATCGATTATCACATCCTAGAAGTCCGTGGAGCGCCTGGAGAAGATCAAAAGGCAGGAAAACTGCCGTTAAATTTGAAGTGATTTAATCCACATGGACTCTTAACGCGCACAAATTATATGTTAAGAGTACAGGGGAGAACATGCTTCTGTTTTCTAAAAATAAAATGAACCACTTTTTTATCTGAGGGATTGTCTCTGTTCAGCCACCCCACTGGAACGGCCTGCCCTCAGGGCACCGGGCCTGCAAGTGACCTGATTGTTTGGGCATCTTGACAGGAGAGACGACAGGGCTGCGAGCCAACACCGAGAGGCTTAGCCGTGTCTCGGTCTCCGGGGCCGATCCCCTCATAGACAGGTGTCTGGCGAATCCCGCGCCAGACCCGGGACCCGCTGACCCACCCGGGCAGAACCCTCGCTGGGGGAGGGGGGCTGGCAGGCGTGGCGCCGGCCTCCGCTGCACAGGGACAGCCGAGAACTGGAGCTAGGAGGGCGCGTGGCCCCGGACTCGTGCTCGTCATGCGCCACAGCGGCCCCCTCTCCTCACTGAGGGCCCGCGGGTGCAGGGACCGGGCCCGGGCGCTCTGTGCGCACACACACACACACAAACACACCCCCACCAGCAGGACAGACCCCGCAGGCGGCAGGGAACAGGAGCGGGGCCGGCCGAGGAACGCGGGGCTTAGAAGAAAGAGGAGCACACCGGACGAAAACTCCGGCCTCACGTTGGCACAGCCATTCAGAGACACCAGGAGAGGGAGGTTTCAGAAAGGAGAGAAGGGCCGAAAAAAGGAACAAGGATCAGCTATGAAAGGACAGAGCGAAGGAGGATAAACAGAGGACACGGAAAAGGCAGCAGAGAGCAAGAAAGAAAGTTAAAACATGCCGGAGAGTGAGGTAAACGAGGAGAACGGGAAAGAGCATGAACGAACAAGCGAGAGAGAGAGAGGGACAGAGTGTGAGCCAGAGGAAGTGCTTGGGCCCCACATCAAACATACACTTCCATAAATAATTGAAATAGAATGCCATCGCTTTCCCCCAAACAAACAATAGCTCGATTGTGCAATGTTTTGCCACGGATGCAGCCAGGGGACATAAAGACTAGCTTTGAACAAGCAGGCCTCCCCCTGCCTCTGACCCGAACTCCTTCCCCCCCAAGCTCTCCCCTCCACTGCGACACTGAGAAGGCAAGGCAGCGACACAGTCTACAGGCTCGGGGGGCCCCCCATTTCTGAAAAATATCCCCTTTGTTTCCGTCGCCGGGGACCTCACACAGTCCGCAGGAGCACAGAGACTGTACTGCCGGCATGGGCCAGCAGGGGGCTCTGGACTTGAAGAGAGGGGACTTTGGACTGGGTCTGGGTTTGACTGACTCATCGCTGTGTTGTTCACGCAGTGGGGAGGCTGCGTTTCATTTTTACTCCAGGTGATTAAAGTTACTTAGCTTTCAAACAAGAAAACCGTCCGCGTGGGAGGAGAACTAAATCAGTCAGGAATCTGTCAACGTGTTAGAAAGCAATTTATAAATAAGTGTCGTAAAAGATCACGATGAGAATTTGTATTATTGGGGAAATGTGAACACCCGTTACCTGTGCAGTCAGTACGAAAGCTTAATGGGACTGGTTGGGCACCAACAGGACTACAGGAATGGAAGCGAGAGCTCACGGGCTGAAGAAAATAAGCCTTTTGAGTTTTGAACAGAAGACTAGGAAAGGACCCAAGACAAAAAGGGGTCCTTAAAGTTTTAAAAAGCTACAATAACAGAAAATCTTTTTTTTCAATCCAAATTTTGTTTATCCATTTCTGAATTGACATTGGGAATATTAAAGGTCCTGCCATTACACAACTAAGGCTAAAATAAGTCTACCCACTTTTAGGCCTGCGTCTCCATATTGTTTCCAGGCTTGGCATTTAATCAGGTAGTTTTATGTAGGCCTCTGACATCTAAAGGATGAAGGTTTAAATCTCTCTAACCATATGCTGAGCTCCAGGACCAAGTCTTGAGGATCGGTCCTCTAAAATTGAAACTAATTTCGCATTTCAAAACAAAGGGCAGAAAAAATCTCCCAGCAGTAGGGCAGTGGTTCACTAGCAGCCTGAAACCTGACATGGTTGTGCAAAGACGCAAAGGTAGTGTCATTTGTACACATTATTTGTTAAAATTCCTTAGAATATATATTTGCCCTGAAGGCTTTACAGTACAAATGAGCTAGTTCCTGCTTATGAGTGGCAGAACTGAATGACTTCAAATCTGGCATGAGCATCAAGTAAGGAGAGATGAGACATTTAAACCGGACAGTCCCACGCTGACAGACATCCAATACCATGCAAGCAGACCTGCTCCCAGATAAAGCAGCACATGGACCACGCTGTCCCGCTAGCACACTGAGCACGGATCCAGGAACTCAAACTCAGAATCGAAAAGAGCCAGCTGTAACAGAACCAGGCTTTTAGGTGACCCAACACCCAGAAACCGAGTCGAATGCCTTGTTCCCAGCAGGTCTCGGGTAGCGAAGAGCTCATCAGCACACCTGGGATGAAGCCTTCGAGCCTCAATACAGCAGTCCTGCACCCCCGCTCCTCCATCGTGTGCAGCTCTGCTGCCGTTCCGGTGGGCGGCCGTGGGAACACGCCTGAGCCAGCCGTTTTGAGACATAAGCCGGGATATCCGCGGGAGGGAAGAGAGTTCCACCAGCCGTGTCTTCGACGTGCTGCCCTTGGCAGCCCGCATCATTCCCGCTGACTGCTAGCAGAGCGGACCGCGATGCCCGCACCTCCTCTGCCGCCAGCCCAGGCCATTCGCCGCCAACCCACCTCTCCCAGCATGCTGGCGGGGCAGACTAGCACGTCCCCATTAACCCTCCACCCCCCCCACGCGTGGTCACAGTGCGACGCGAAAGAGGGGAGGGGCTGGGAAGTGGGGTCGTGCCGGCGCACCAGCCCCCCCGCGCGGTCGGATCTTCCCCGACTGTAACACAGTCCTGCCAGCAACCCGCTCGCAGGGCCGCCGAGACGTGCGCCAAGCCACCAGCCGTGTTCCACCCGAAACACGGTTCCCGTTTCCCTGTGGGCTGGGCACGACTCGCCCTGCCAGCCCGCTGCGCCCCACGGGAGAGTCGCCCCCTGCTGCAGGGGCCGGGTCTCGCCGACACCGAACGCCAGGGGTACCCAGCCCCCATCCCCGGTCACCGTGCTCCACGGACACGGCGTCTCTGCTCTCACAGGTGATACTGAGGCTGTCGGGGCGCCAGTGTGTGCTCCAGAATACGCAACGTCAATGGCTGGGCCTGCCCCCGTGGGGGACAGAATAACCTACCAGTGTTACACGCCCCGAAGACAGCATCCACACACATTTAATCACTGCAGGCACTGTTTCAGAAATGCAGAAATGTTTCACATCAGTGGGAGGTTTGCTCACACAACGACATGGGTCACAAGGTCCAATCCAACTCCAATCAAGGGGTGAATGACCAATGCCCTGGTCACTGCTTTAGTGCCATGGAATTAGTACCAGCATAAGGGAACTACGAGGCAGCTTTGTTTTCTGCCTTATAGTTCTGTTTGTGAAAACTTAAACAAAAGGTACACAAAGCGCTCATTCCGATGACAGAAAAGACCGACCATAACGTTGCCGCAGGCTATGTTCTGCGAGTATGTGCGGTATAATGCTGAGGTGTTAAAGCAGCTGAACTGGCTCTTGCACTAATCCGCTGTCGTGCTGCAGCTTGCCTGCATGGCCCTGGTCTCTGAGACCAGGAGCTGCAAGCAGCAGGGGGAGAGCCTGACGCCACTTCGCCACTGCCTCTCCCTTCCACTGAATACCACCCAGCAGGCTGGCACAGGAAACACAAGCCCGTCTTCCACTTCCTGCCACCTGCAAGGATAAACAACTAAAGGTGGAGGCTGAGGCCCGGGGCCTGGGTGAGCGGTTTAATGAAGGAATTCCAGCAATTCGGGGTTTCACAGCCAGTTCAATGAAGTGGATTACACCGCGCGCCAAATTCCACTTGTAACTCATGACTTCATTTTTTCAAGTACAAAAACAGGCAAGCTTCCCGTTTCCTGTGGATATCCATGGTACAGGCAACAACAGATTGTACAGCAGCCTGTTCTGGAAAGCCTGACTCACACTTCGATAACCAGGCAAAACTGGCAAGATAATCATGAATGAGTGTGCTTGTACATGTACTGCCATTAAAAATATTTCAGCAGTGAGTTCAGAGGACACCTCCATAAGGAGCAGTAAAATTCAGAGGCAGGCAGAACACTACACAGAGAACAGCGGGGGTTTGGAACAAACTCCCTCACAGCCCACTGTCCAGAATTCTTTCAGAAATGGCCTTTTGGATCCTTTCGCCATTAGCAACAGAATGAGTTAATGAGGGCATCCTGCCATTCAGGGCTTCATCTCTTTTGCAAACCTGTAGGTTTTCATCGCACATGAAATGCATACAAACTCGCAAGGAAAGTCAGAATCGAGCGAGCGTCATTTAACCCAACTTAACTCACCCAGTTTCCAGAAACTGTATGATCGGTTCAAAAGCATCTCAACTTTTGAGCCCAGAAGGCAGAGCTTTACAAAGGTACGCAAGGTAACAGGGCACCATCACATTAAGAGGATGTCATGGCTGACATTTCAAAGAACAATGCCCAGAAGACTGGTGATGCTGCACAACCTGCAGTGACACATCACCCCTGCCCACGTCCGGATTACTATTCAGCGAGAGCTGCTCTGCTTGTCCAGCTCTCTCTCTCTACGTGCATGTTTCTTGGCAGCAGGACGTTCAAAGCTCCACAGCCCACTGAAAGATAGATCCTCAGGGGCCCGCTAACAAAACCAGCAAACTCCAGACTCCAAGGTCACAGAGGTTAATGCTCAAATGCTGTGGCAATTCTCAGGTGCTCTGAAGAATGTGTCAAGTAGTTTTATGTCGCTCAGATCATTACTTCTAAAAGATCTGGCTATTTGAGAAGAGGCTGTATAATGCACCTGATCTCTGAGCTGTGACAGTCCCATGGTATGAAATGATCAAAACGTGAAATACTGTGGGCCATGCAAATTGTTTAAAATAATCCCCGTTCATGCTATAAATTTTATAGCTTTAACTGTCTTGAAAGCGGCCAAGACGTTCTAAGTGCAGTTTGCGTCCACTTTAGACTGTTAAACGCTGCACTGAATGACCTTAGGGGGCAGTCACTAGTTCAGTTATAAATAAGGTCCCATCAATAGTGTGGTCTGTCAGAACCATGGAAGGTGTAATAACCACCTACACGACATGTGGATTAGTCCCAAGTGAACAGCCAACGGGACCGCAGAGCTGACAGATGCAATGAGCTGGACTAATTAGACCTTTCAGAGTATGGCTCTCCAGGCTGGTCATGTGGTATGAACAGGATCTTCACTAATTACAAGATACAATGTAGTAAAAGAACAAATGAGCTAAGCATATTTTCCGATGCAATCAAGAACAACAACTATGGCAGGAGGGAGTCTCGTGGTTTCATGTTAGCCACGCTGTGGATGAACCACTGAAGGATGCTGTGAACGCAGCACAGAGTGGCTGGCGAGCATGGGGCCATTTTAGGAAATCACCCCAAAAGACTCAAACAGGATAAAGCAACGCTAATAATGAAATAAACCCATAAGCAAGTATACCATCCTGAAAGAGATGAGGAAAACAAATCAATTCAACATTTCATTGCAGGGGGTCATCTGGGTCTTACTCCTTCCAAAGTGTGTCTGCTCCATTTGTTTTACTTCAAAATAAAAGCAAATCACATACAAAGGGATAGACGTCTCAAGTTAAATGAGATAAAACCACAAACACTGCTGAAATACAAAGTTGGAAAAAGGAGCACCCTGCAGGCCTGAGGTGAGGAATTCAGTAAACACCTGCATGACCAATTTAGAGGCTCTTGAACTGCTAGCTGTCCGTTATCCTGGTTAACGCTGCTGTCTCCTGTGAAGATGGACTCTCACACATGTAACCATCAGAAGAGTGACGTCAGCCTTTACTTCTGTGGGCATCTTTAGGACTTCGGGGTTCTTGTATTTCTGCACATACGTGTACATGTGCACATGTACATAGTACATACTGTACCTAAAACCATCTGTGTGGAATTGAATACCTACTTGATATGCATACTCCTAGGCCCATGTAAATTAGCAAGAGGTGCGCTTGCACATGCATATTTCATCTCCAGCTTCTTTACAAACTTTTTTGTTTGGAAGATTCAACACTCCAGATGAGCCTGTGTGTTTCTCTCCTCGCTGCTGGTTTTGCGTCAGTGGCTCTTTCCTCCTCCTCCTCCTCCTCCACCACCTACTGGATTTGAATCCAGCGCCTCTCCTTCTCCACCCAGACTCATCCCTGTGCTCCCACCTTCCCACGACAATCCTGCCCCCGGCTCCGTGCTGGTGTGGGAGAAACGGGGGAATGGTTACCTTGGCTACACTCCCAGCAGCAGGTGTTCCCTGCCAACGCCCGAGAGAGCTCCCGCAAGATCTGGAAGAGAGCAGGAGCCCTGCCCACTGTGGGCGCCCCAGTACTCCGGCTGCCTCCCAAGCCCCGCACCCCAAGTCCGGAGAAAGAGCCGGAGCTGGCGATACCACCGTCTGAGAGACTGGACACGGAGAGGCGACCAGCCTGTGAAGCCAGCGTGAGGATCTCCACTCCTCCATAACCATTCTGTAATGCACTCGTACAAACCCCTGCAAGCGCAGACGGCCAGCAGCACCGCTCACAACAGCGACGCCTGCCATCTTGAAAGCAGTCACTGTGCAACATCAGCTTGCGCACTTGCACTTAACTGTTACGCTGGCACTGATTTAGGGGAGAGATGCAGCATCCTCCTGTACCCCCCTGTCCTTCTCTCCCTCAGCTGGTGCACACAACACTAAAGAATCAGACGCATAATAAAGTAGAGATACCCCAATTAAAGTGTTTTTTTTTTTTACAGATGAATCCTTCAAACGTTCTGAAAGTTCTGAAATACTTTCAATTCTGAAAGTATTTTGAAATGGAAAAAAAAAAACTTTGCCAAAACAGTTATCAATGCGTTTCTTTATTATACCCGGAAAAAAACAACATTCAAGGTTGAAAAACAAACGAGCCGGCTCTTATCCAGACAGCCAACACAATGTACTGTCAGTCAGCGTGTGCCCCCCCCCTCACAAGTCGCACTGTTTACAATATCTGGATTAGGCTGGATTACCGACTTCTGTTCTTTCTTTCACTTGTTCTGTTTGTGACCTCAACAGATGCCTCGATGGGAACCTTTTGTCACACGGTTGCGGGCAGAGCGCAGCACAAAGGCACAACAAAAACAGACGAGGCCTCGAAGCCTGTGGACGTCGCCGCCCTGGGCCCGTCACCCTCCCCCAGCCCCGGCGCAAACCAGCGCCGGAGACGTACGGCGTCGGGCACCTACCCACCTGCCTCCTCCCCGCGCTGCCCCCTCCCTCTCAAAATGGCCGCCTCACAGCTCCAGCCCGGGAGGATGGGAGGGAGCAGGAGGTTTCATTTTATTTTTATTTCTCCTCCATTACAGATCCTATCGCTACTCCCATCGGTGCCGCCTCCCCCTAGCAAACCCGATACCCTCACTGCAGCGGGAAAGGAGCTCAGGGCTTAGTTACAACCGGGAGGGCGCCGGAGGGCGAGTGTCCACAGGGCTGGAGCCTCTGCACGAGTGGCGGGTCCTCCTGGGCTTCTCCCGAGAGGATCAGCAAAACTTCTCACTCACTTTACCCCCACCATGATATGGTGGAGACACGACACTTGCGCGAGAAAAGGGTTTTCAACCCATGTGGATTGAAAACCAAGACTGCAGTGTTTTGTCTGATGCTTTCAAAAAGCGATTTCCCATTATATATCATCATTTCCATTATATATCGTATTTCACTTCTACGGCTGGTTGTTTCCGCTGGTACGATTCAGGTCCAGCCCTTTCCTCAAGGGTACAACAGCAGTCTCACCCTCGATTTGAACCCACCGTCTCCCAGATACACGTCCAGCACCCTAACTGCTGCATGTTTGTATTCATGCGTTTTCTGCTTGGCTGCGTTTCCTCTCTCAGGAGCAGTCGTCTTCTTTTCATGATGAGCGTAACGGCAATGGGATAAACCGCCTCTGCGAGACGGAAGCCCCAAGTCTCTACAGCGGAGTCCTGGAGGGCTGGCCAGCAGAAGCTCGCGACGACAGGGCGTTCGGAGGGAACGGCTGGAGCAGTATCTGCAGGACAGGGGGGTGTGGCAGAAAGGGCATCTTCTGGCGGCGTGAGACAAAATCAACCTCAGGAGGAGAGAGCTGGAGCCCTCGGCTCCTGGCCCGGGTCGCCAGCCGAGCCAGCACGCTGCTGGACTGGATCCCGCCGCCAGCACCCCCAGAGATCTGCACCCCTTCACTGGCATCCCGCTCGGCCGGAGCAAGCGCGCGAGGAGAGAACCGATACTGATGAACTCCAGTGACCTTTAATGTAATCATGACCCCCCTCCGAAGAAGCCAGTGAGGAGACAGAAATACACACTTAACTGCCTCAAACCTGCAGGGGAACTGCGGGACCGTTCACGCATGAGAAGGAAATAAAACCGGAGGTCTGGTTGGCAGTTCAACCCCCTCCCCACCCCCAGCTCCATGAACTCTGCTTTAACACACCAGCAACACTGTTCCCCATCACTCGCATGCTCTCAGATTACAGACTACAGCAGACATGGCAAATAATTTCCCTACAAATTCCCGGCCTCACACACTGACCAGAGTTAAATCTGCAGCAAGCACTAGAGCCGTCGTTTCACAGACGGCTGTTAAGTGGGACCTGAAAAGGACAAAAACTCTTTCACCCGAGTGTGCCAGTTTATGGGCAGCAGAAATCCAGAGCGAAGGGCTAAGATGTATAAACATGCAACCAATTAAAATACGGCATAGTCGGGCTGCGTGCTTGAACAGGGATTGTTGTACTCTCTATAGTCAGGAGTCTCGCTGTTACCCACCTGGCACCCTGAGGTCAGGATTCACCCCAGCTTTCCACTGGTCAGTGTCTGCGCCCCCAGAACGCTGGCCCCAGGCTCCACAGCTGCCACAGAGGGCTGATCGGCACACAGGGCTGCAAGTGCCCCGCAGATCCGAAGCCCTCATCCAAAGAAGGCGGCCAGCCCTCTAAGCAAGCTCTACTGTATAATGTGGTTAACTGCGTTTTCTATTTATATTTGTTCCTCCTTCAGAAAAAGGAAATTTGACCTATTAAATCCAGATGTGCGAAGGAGAGGCACAGCCCCAGTGTCTGCGCAGGCAGCTGCAGGCCCGGCCGGCGGAAGCCGGTCCCAGTCTAGGCCAGGTGCCGCGCTGGTCCGGAACGCTCACGGGGGGAACCGGCTCCCGCCAGCGGCTGGCTGGCGGCCCAGGACACCGCCCTGCGTCACCTGTTCCAGCCAGAAGGCCCCGACCCCAGGATTACTGCCCCCCGCCACCTCAACCTCCCCCAGGAAGAGCAGGATCGGGCTGCAGGGACTCCGGACTATATCCCCTTCTGTCCCAGGCTCCTAACGCACTGGTCAGTGGGTCTCTAATATTGTGGCCACTGCGTGTCCATCTCAAGCGGGGGGAAAATAGCAACCGTGATGGTTGTCAGGAGGATGAAATAGACTCCTAGAACAGACATGGCTCCAGTTGCACAGCAATGCGATCCGCTCCAGGTTTGACAGGCAGCCGGCTCTAGCACAGGGGTTCCCAACTCCGGTCCCACGTTTTCCATTCCCACTGGGGCTCATGCCTGTCCTTGACCAGCTTGCTTGGTTTGATATTTTTAGTCCATATTTCCAAGCACCTCACCACACAGAACTTTATGCAGTCTCTAATTAAGAGTCTTAATAAAGCTTGCTAATGAAGAATTCGCTGATATATTTCTGATCAAAGTCCCTTCCTGAACACAGGTGGGAATGACACCATTCATCAAGCAGAAGGAAAAACACTGATTCACTGCAGGAGTTGGTACTGTAAGTCTGTTTGGTCATAGTTCTGCTCACATGCCTGAACGAATGTACCTATGAAGTTCAGGAATTGACACAGGGTTGAAACCAATAACAAAAACCCTTACAATTCTTTAAAAGCTGAACAAATTTTCAAAAGCAGCTATAATGAAGATTTAAATCAATAAGTCTGCACTTAAGAACAATACCAGGAGAGATAGCGGTCTCCCAGCACTGAGAACCACTGCTGCGGCAGTTTCCACTAGTGCCCTTGCCTGGGTTAAATCTGCAATTAAATATATTCCTGCCCTCACTCACTGGGAGGATTTCTCCAGCAGCCGGCAGCACGTTAACCCAAACTACTGCCTTGGGTCCTTCTGAAACATCAGCTTTCTCCTTCAGATCAATAAGAAATGAACGATTTTGTAGACATGAAGTCCCGTGATAGAACAGCAGCTGTGAAGACCTGGGCCTTCCTCTTTCAAAGCTGCTGCTGCGCTGACCACGCCGTCCGAATAGCAATGAGATGAATTTGCTCCGAGCTGCTTTTGCTAACTTGCAGAATAGTAACATCGATGTCAATCCACCTGTGGTCTCAGATTCAGGAGGATCTGCCAGCTCAGGAGAGCTCTGGACAGCTTCTGACTAGCAGTACCACGCACGGTTATATATTTCTAAATGCCGGCTGAATTTTTGCACACCGGACAGAAGTTAAAAACCTGACAAAACTTCAAGCTGTTCTGCATGAAGACAATGGAAAAAACTTTTATTTGGATGGCTGGACTCGATTGAGATTAGATCAATCTAACTTTCAGAGCTTGTGGCAGCTGCTTTTCAGCAGGTTGATACAGAAGCCTGGACACTGCACGCTATCATATACAAGCTGACACCAGGCTGATAAAGCGGACAGTTAAAAGAATAAATAACCAAGCACACGCAGGACTCGGGTGCTGGGTGTCTGGAAGGAGTCGCCCATGTGGTCCAAGGCGATCCTTGATTTCCTTCAGGAAACGCCTTGTTGAGCTCCTCACATCAGTAAGCTACTAACTACCGAAGGAACCAGATGAGCATGAGAAATGGTGATCCAACCCCCTTTACTGTGTATCTAAAAAGTGTTGCTTCTCCTTCGGTCTCGAGCACAAGAAAGTTTACAAAACGACAGGAGCCTTGCTTGCAAGTTAGCTTATCAGCTGCAGGAAATCAACACTTCATCTTGACAAATCCCTGGGAACAACAAGCTGACAGCTTGCTCCACACTCCTGACTAACCATTGCAGAAAGAAGCACTCAAAAGCACCCCCCTCTTAATCTTTGCTACCTGAATCCAAGGAAACACAGGACCTACAACATTCTCAAAGTCAGAAACATTATACTTTGGCATTACAAACCCTTGACTTGGGACTGAGTATAAAATGGAATAGGTGTTGTTCAAACTGAAGCTCAAAGACAGATGAGATCATAATTTTTTATTTTTTGCAACTCAGAAGTATTTAATAAATCAGGGCACACACTCAACTCCATTTTAAACTGTCATCGCTTTGGCACAAAAAAGCTTTCATCAGGCTGCAATGTTGACAGAGCTGAGCAAATTATATTGGAGTTTAGTGTGCATTCTGCTTTAGCTGCCCCTGATTGATTTCTATTGGAAAACACCTCATTAGATTTGGATGTATTTTCTTTTGTTCTCGGAAATATTCCCATTTTTCCAAGCGTGCTCCTGCGTTTTGGTCAATCAGCTTGGTTTCTGGCTAAATAACCCCTCTTACCACCATGTTAGCTGAAAAGCACAGGGTCTCCAGTAAATGTACATCACCTTTTCCTACCGTTAGGGTGTCAGACGGAGGGCTAACGAAGCTCTTACTGGCAGAACTGCAAGCTCAGGGCTAGCCTGGGAGCCCCAGTGGTGACTGGGACACGCAGAGCCCGAAGCTGCTTCCTCCCAGTCAGCGCCAGCTGGGAAGTCTGCCCCTTGACTCCGGGAATCCCAGTCACAGACCGCTAACAACCAGCCCCAACTGAAACAAGGGATCCCTGGCCACTGGAGCCAACTTACGCTCCAAGAGAAAAAAAAAAAGGAGAAAAAATAAAATACAATAGACTTGATTGTTACACTCCAGAGACTTATAATGGTTTAAGATGAAACGAAGGGGGTTTTCTGCGCGAGGCAGATATTACGTTATCTGGCATCACACACTGAACTTTTGTTTTCTCTATTCCCAGGATTTTCCAATGTTGTGTCAAAGTCAGTTGTGAAAGCAGCAACTACGCTTCCAGACATCGGAGCCACGTAAATATAAGACGCATTTACAGCGAGGAAGAGAGGCAACACTGGTCACTGGTTAGCAGAAAATCACCCTTCACGCAGTTTCAAGGATGGACAAATGCACAGCGTCCCCACCCATAGGTCCATGGAAAAACTGAAAACAACACTGGGGACTCGGAAAGGAAAAAAAGCTTTTATTTCCCCCAGAGAGAAGCTGTTGTGGGAGTCTGGAACGAGCTGCCCAGCCGCACTGTCAGAGACAATACCCTAGCTTTGATCTGCGGATCAATCAGCTACTGATTACAATTCCCCACAATTACAAACTCCCTTCTCATCACATGCCAAATGATGGCAAAGCATTTATATAGCACATACCTGCATGAGCAGCACCACTATACCGAGGTCAAGTGAAGACGTGAGATTTAATAAAGTGAACCTTACTGTACAGACGCCGGACTGTAGAAGCCCAGAGTGGAATTCAGCCAGGGCACTGAGGTTAACACCCCTGCTCTTACAAACACTGCCAATGTGTCTTTAATGCCCAATTAGGCTGGATCTTGGTCTGATGTCTACAGCACAGTGTGCTCAGTCACCATGATGCATTGGCTTTTGGAACTTCTGGTCCACAGGGAAGAGCACCACCTACTGGTCCACCACGCCACTTACAGCAGCCACCTAGTTCTCCTTGGAGGTCTCCCATTTCAGCCCTGGCCTGGCCCAGCCTGGGCTGGATATTAAACTAGATGGAGCAAATGGCCGCCTCTCACGTGTAGCATTTCATACACTCTTGTCAGTGACATCAGCTTTATTTACAACCTTTCTTTTCAATAAAAAAAAAATCTTACGAGACCTAATGTTAATGATCCCCACCCCACACCGCACCCCCACCGGCGACAGCTGAGGCCGACTCCATATCCCAGAAATAAAGAAGCTGCATCCCAGACGCCCCTAAAAATGAGTTGCAATTAAAAAAAATTCTTCCAAGCAGAGAAAAGGGCAAGAGGCAGGACAATGGTAGGAGACAATCTCTCTCCTTGATAAAAATTTTGGAAAAAAAAAAACATAAGACCTGTGTAGCCGGCGTGAGACACAGCACATGACAAAATCAAAAACGGAAAAATGAAAACAAGACAGCCAATCGATCCATCAGACTTCACCTTGAGCACATCCCATCAGCGGAGTTCATAATGACAAACACCTTGTCAACAAAACTGAAGGGCAATTCCATTTCACACAATAGCTGCGCCTCGCAGCCTCACCGGCACGGCCACACTGTCTCCCTGAAACGAGGCTGCTAGCCCAAGGCCAGCTCCTCCCGAGGCCGCCGGAGTCGAGCCCCACTGCCGAGCCGGCGCCAGGGCGCTGGGCGAGGAGAACCCCCAGCAGCGCGAGGCCCCTGCCCCTCCCACCCCAAACCAAATAACGCCAGGTCCCCGCCAGCAGGAATCCGATCCCCCCCCCCACCCCGGGGGTCGGACAGGGCAGGCCACAGGCCGAAGCGCCGCTGGGAGTCAGCTCTCACGACTACGGTGCCCTCGCAGGCAGCACGACGCGCTGAGGCCCGCCAGTCACCAATCTGCTTACCCAGGGCTGCAGCGTGGAGAGAGGTGCTTGGCTGCTGGGGAGGTAATGTGCTTAGTTTGTGACCAGACTGCCTTCTGCTCCACTTAAGCTTGTTTGGCCAGCTGTCTGTCTGTCTCAGCAGAGCTCGGATCTCTTCCCTGACTGGTCGAGCTGCTGTCCTGCATTGCTAGTCCTGAGTCACTGCAGTAGTAACCATCTGTTCCTTTAACTGTATACAGTATTGATCTGCAGCAGGATTCTACAGATCAACCAAACAGACCAACTACAAGAGAAAAGAATAATTGCTGTGTTCTGTTTAATTAAAGGTTTAGCTTTCATCTTGCAGCACCTGATCCCACTTTTCTGCAACCTAACATCCCAGGAAAGTGCTGCTTCTCAGCCCTGGATGCCCTGTCTGGAACACCTGGCTTTTTCCGGTTCTAAAACTAAGTGCACTGTGCACAAGTTCAGATCTTTCAGTGTGTAACTCCCTCTCCCACTTCTTATCTGAAGAGCAAGCATCTGACAGTCCCCACAGTATTTACAGCTACCAGGTTCAAATGGCTATTTATTGGAGCTCGCTGTTGCACAGACAAGTCCATCATCCAAAACCGCTCAAATGTCACACAGATTCTGCACCGCGGCACTGGACCAGCAAGGAGGGGTCACTACGAACTAGCTCAACTCTGAAAAGCCAACGGAAAGACAAATGGCACTTGTGCGAAGAAAGAGCACAACTGGAGAATTGCTTAAGCAGTGTCACCTGGTTAGGCACGTTAACATGTTCGGGCTTCCTAGCCGGATCCTTTGTTGTAAACAAAGGCAGACCCTGTTTGGAGCCACATTCCTGTCCCGCCAGACACAAATACCCCTAACAGTT